GGCCGGAATTTGCAGCCCCGCACATGCTCCCCTGGCCTCCGACTCCTGGCTGGTTCAGTAACCCCACGGCGGATGCGGGAGCTGAGACCGGCCCAGGGCCACAGAACAGAAGCACCTCGGGAACTCCAGGCTCCCCCGACCCGCAGCCGAGAGAAGTCTGCCAACCGCTGCCCAACCCTCACACAAGGAGCCCCCCAAAGGTGCCTGGGGCAACTCCAGCACCAGCCCCAGCCCCAGAGGGGTCTCCCCTCAAGATCAAAACAGAAAATACAGAGTTTGAAGCGTTTAAAGGAAGGTCAAAAAAGGTTACTGTAAAAGCCTGAGGAGCCCTGTGCCCCCTCCCTGGGGGCTGGGGGACCCCCGCACCCCACGCCCCGTGACACCCCCCCTTCCCCCACAGCGCTGCCGACGGTGCTCCCTGGCTGGCTGGCACCAAGACCCCTCAGACCCTCATGTGCCACCGTGTCTTAAGTTCCTCAGATGCAAACAGATCCTGAAAATAAAATTTAAAAGTGTTTGTATTAATATATCTTTATTGAAAGATAATCCTTTCTAGGGGCACCTGGCTGGCTCAGCGGGAAGAGCGTGTGATCTCGATCTTGGGGTCATGGATTTGAGCCCCATGCTGCACGTAGACATTGCTTAAAAAATAAAATCTTTAATTAAAAAAAAATAATAATCCCTTCTAAAGAGTAAAAGCGTAATTCCTAAAATATAAACTGATCTGTTCAAAGATTTAACTGCTTAATTAACAAGGGAACCAATAAACTGTTAAAAACCCCGCTCAAAGGGGTGGGGGGAAGACCACGTGACGGCACTGGGAACAAGATGATGTGGCTGAAGAGGCAAAATGGTGGGTGTCACAGGAGACGAGCACGCCCCCGCGGGACAGAGCCCGTCTGTGTCCCCTACCCAGACCCCCGTCGCCATTGGTTCCTGAAAAAGACGCAGAGCCTAGGGACAGAAGTGCGCCCGGGGAAGAAGCGCTGCCACGGCCCACGCCCAGGGCCCTCCACTGTGGCATTTCCGTGAGCCAACAGCAGAGGGGTCCTGGGGGGTGGGAGGCAGGGTGCCCCCTGGGGTCCCAGAGAGCAAGTGTGGAACCCCACCACCACCTTGACTGTGCTGGGAAAGTTTCTGCTGAGAACCCCTTGCCATGTGACTTAGATGACTCAGTTGCCCCCAATCACTGGTGACAAGGCTGGACACGGACCCCAAATTCATTCCATTCTTCACCCTGTTCTTGACTGGATGACCTGTTTGTCTGGGCTCATGGATGGGAACAGAATGCCCATTAACCGCACTTGGTCCATCCTTCAGGCCTGTAGATGACGACCCACCTCAGCCTGAGACAGGCAGACTCAGGGTGATGCGTCCCCTGACGTCAGGTCACACTACCCACGCCTCCAAGTGCGGCTCTGCCTGCGCCAGCGCCTTCCCCCTCCCACCCGGTCCTCGTCCAGCCGGGGTCCCTCCCCCCATAAAGCAAGCCTGTCCCCGCCTGGCCTCAGAGACCCTGGCAGACCCCAAGGTCTCCCTCCTGCAGCCACGGCTCCTTCCCTGGCCGGCAGTGACCCCATCCAATATGATCTCTCCTAACTCAGGGTTTGTTTCTTGGACACACTTGTGCTCTCCTCCCAATTCTGTGTCTACAGAGTATCCAAGTGTCAAAATGCCAAGTGCCATCATCATTGGTTACACCCAGTGCTGAAGATGCGAGGGGGGGGGTGCAAGATGCAGAGTTTTTAAGGGTAAAACTGAGTATCTCCATCTACTTGTGCCAAGTCCCTCCGGCCCCATGCCCAGTGAGCCCACCGCAAGCCCACTCTCCACCATCATTCACACAACCGAGACAACTGCCAGGCTTCCTGCCAACTTGCCCAGCTCCGGCCTCCATCCACGTCCCACCACCGCCTCCCGCGGCCCACAAGCCCCTAGGGAGCAGACTGCTACTCCTCGGTGTTTAGCGAGTGTTCTTTTGCAGGAACCCCTCTGGGAAGCGGAGGGCGACAGACCATCTCTCTCTGCATGCATGCGTACACACACTCCCCCCCGCCCCAAATTTTCAACTCTTAAGGGATGTCCCTGCAGGCCCAAGCTAACCACCTGGCACAAGGTCAGGCAGGTGGTAAGTCCACAACAGATGTGGAAGGGGCTGGCCTCAGGGTGACCCAGTGGGAAACAGAGTCACGATGACACTCGGAGGACCACCCACAAACACGTCAGTGACACTGGCAAAGGGCAAGAAGTGGATGGAAGCGGAGGGTCTACGGGACACCCTCCTGCCACGTCTATCCAATTCTGAATCCCCTCCGCCATTCCAAACCACCACGAATAAACAAACCTGTTTCTCACCGCCGGCGTCTCACGCTTGCTTCTCGCCGGCACACAAAGGCCCCCGTGTCCCAGAAGCGCCCCGGGCAGCGCGCAGCAGGGGGCGTCCCTTCCGCAGCAGCTCCAGGCTAGTGGCCACGAGCTGCCGCCGCACCCTTCCCCGGGGCTTCCAGAGGCTCCGAGCCCACACCGCCCCCTGCCAAGTTTCTTTTCCTCCAGGACCCTCCCGGCTACGGTCTGGACTCTGGGACCATGCCCCAGTAGATTTCAAACTCTACTTCCCGGACCTCAGACGAGTCCCCCGCCGCGCTCCCCTCCCCCGCGCCCACTGGAGGGCCTCCAGGGCCTGGCCTGGCTCTTCGATCGCGAGAGAGAATCCTGCCAAATGGGGACGCTCTGGAGCGACGCCCGCCACCCTTCCAGCTTGGAACGAATCTCCTGCTGAAGCAGGGACACCTCCCGGACACCAGCATTTCCACCCAGCTGCACCAGCACTCCGCGAGAGTTCCAGACCCCTCTCACTGCTTGGTGGTCAGCAGGGGCCATGATGGAAAAATGCTGCCCCCACTCTGCACCTGTGTGACACATGGGCGACCACCCGGTGATCTGGCCACACATGACGTGCCCACAGGTGCAGAGTCAGGGCCGTCAGCGGGTCACGGCCGCCCCTCCCCCACTGCGGAAGAGTCGGTCACCTGCCTGTCTCCACCTCGAGCTGTGCGACTTTGACTTCTCTGACCGCAGTAACTTGTGCCAGGCTCCTCAAGAGGCCTGTAAGGGACTCTATGACACGTACTCGTATGACAACGAGAGACTGGATACTTCTTTCCACAGCACTAACCAAGGAGGCCCTGAGAGCAAAGGTACAGGCTGTTCAGAGTAGGAGCACCAGGGGTAAAACTACAGAAAAGAAAGAGGTCACACAGGGCAACAAGGGACCAAGGCCAGGGAGGCCCATGGCTTGGCCACTGACCTCCAGGCCGGCCCCTCCTCCCCGCTGCCCTGCACCCGGCCCCTCCCCAGCTTCTGGGCGCCTGCCCGCCTCCCCCACCACACACCGGATTTCACTCCTCTGCTGAAACCCTGTGGCCGAAACTGCGATTCTCAGGGAGGGAGGGAGGCTGATCAGACCAGGGGGTGCTCGTCACTTAAAGCACTTTCAACAATCACGGGGTGCTAACTTCTTTCAGACGGTTTTGATTTACAGGAATGCATGGACTTCTGTCCCTTGGCCTCCGGTAACTGAGAATTGCTGGCTTATGGTCACAGAAGGGCCTTCAGAAGGTGCCGCACTCACCCCGCCAACAGGGTCAGCTCAGCGCCTCCCCCAGCCTCACCCCTCCGGCCACAGCTGCTCGAGCCTCTCCAAGCAGGGGCGGTTCCCCAACCAGGACGCCCTCCTTACTGTCCATCCGCAGCCTCCTGCTCCAACCCAGCACTTCGCTCGCACCACGCAAGGGCCGCCCCCCAGACCTCGCGGGGTCCGCTCCGCCGTTCCCCCCATGGGGCAGGGGCTCCACTCAGCAGCTCAACCAATGGAAGTGGAATTCCCACATGACCTCGCAGGTGGGCAAAGCCCGGGCCAGGCGGGTGGGACTGTCCGTGCGCGGCGCACTTCGCGCGGGGGGTGGGCGGGCCTGGGCGCCCCGAGAGAGAACCAGGCAGAGGGCACAGTGCCCAAGGCCCCGGAAGGGCTGGAGCGCGGGCGACTGGAGCCCGGGGTACCGAGGGCAGCCGTGGGGGGCCCCGGAAGGGCAGCAGGAGCCAGCCGAAGCGGTTCGGGGTACAAGGACGCTAACGGGGGTCCCGGGCGCCGATGCGCGTCTCGGGATCCCGAGGCAAGGACGGGGGCCCCTTGGCCTCCGACGGGATCTCGGGACACTAACGGGAGTGCCGGGCGCAGACGAGGGGTCTCAGGCGAGCGGGGCGCGTCCAGGGGGCCCTCGGGCTCGGAAGGGGGTCCCGGAGCGCGGAGAGGGTGCCGGGGGTCTCGGGCGAGCGGGGCGCGGAGGGGGAGGCGGGAAGCTGGCGGGCGGCGGCGACCTACCTCCTTGTCTGGGACCCACTGCGGCTCCTCCAGGCCGAAGGGGCTGCCAAAGGCGCGGTGCTCGGGCACCATGCGCAGGCCGCTGGGGGAGCGCACCAGCTTCTTGGCATCGCGGCGCGCGGCCACCTCGGAGGACATGACGCCGCCTCGGCGCTCGCCAGCCGCCCGGACCCCGGTCCCGCCAGGAGCCCCGCCCTGCCCGCGTGGATGACAGGGGCCGCGTCCAATCGCCACGCCCGGCTCGGAGAGCGGACCAATCGACGCCCGGGACCCGCCCCATCGCTGCGCTTTTCCCAATTCGCGCAAGGGCACCTCCCCGGCCACCCTGCGGTCGGTCACCAATCGGCAGTGAGGACGCGCTCAGGCGCGCCCCGTCTCCCGGGGACGATTGAGACTTTGGATTGGTCAGTTAGTCTGCGCCGTAGCGCTGCTTCCTCTCTGATTGGCAAATCCGGTGCGGGACGCCCGGCTCTCATTGGAAAGGGAGGTCGCGGGGGGCGGGGCAGCGCGAGGCGGCGAGCGGAGCGCGCGCGGTGAGCGTGGTGGGCCGCGGGGGCGCGGCGCGGGGTGGGCCGCGGGGGCGCGGCGCGGGGTGGGCCGCGGTGGGCTGGGCTCCGGCGGCGTCGCGGGTCGTCCGTACAGTCCACGCCCGCGGGCGGGAGGAGGGGACGGCCGGAGCCTAGGCCCTGGCGGGGTTCTGGCAGCTCGGGAGCCGGGGTGCGGAGGCCCGTCCTGGGGGTTGCCACCCGCAGAGACCCGAGCAGGCCGGCGGGTTGCAGGGCCAGTTAGGGTGACGGCGGCAATCTGGGGACCGTGGGGTGAAAGGTGAACGAGGGCCGCACGAAGCGGGGGCGTTCCGGGGGGGGGCGTGCAGGTGGACCGCCGTGGAGAGGGGGCGCGTCGCGGAGGAGAAGGTGCGCCGGGTCGTCACGTGGGTCTGCGGACCTCGGGTCTGCAGGAGTCGCTGGCGAGAATGGGGCAAGGCGGTGCAGGGCCCGGAAAGGGAAGGGGTCCCCGGAGAGGACAGGGTGCTGAGAAGGGCCGCGGACCCAGGAGGCCAGGCCGGCCCGGGCAAGGCCCCCCAGGTCACCGGGAGAAGCTCCCTGCCAGCGGCCCTGGGATGAGCCAGCGCCCATCGCCCCCTCCGGGAGGGGAACCCGGAATAGATGGCCACCCTGGAGGGCGGGTGGGCTGCTCCCACCGGGACTAGACACACACACTGCCCCCCCCCGCCCCAGGCGGGCCGGCCTCGGGATAACCGAGTTTTGCATGGTGGACTCTGAACAGTTCTGCTGGATTTGTTGACAGGCGTGCGGGGCGGGACCCGGATCCCCCGCGGGCTGTGTGGCCTGAGCGTGTCAGTAAGTGGCTGCTCGCGTCCCTCTCCCGGTCAGCAAGGCGGGCTGGTAATCTTGCTCCCCTGAGGTCTGAGCGAGGCCGGATGTGGCAGGTGTGCCTAGAACCGGCCCGAGAGCGCGCTGGTGTCCCGGCGCCCGGTGACTTCAGCGCAGGAGGACTGCGGCTGCACTGCCCTGCCTGAATTAGGTCTGAGCTTGGCGACAGAAGGTGGCCCTGTTCTGCGGGAGGGGAGGCCGGCCCCGCGTCCGGCGGCGTGTGGGTGGCCGTGTGTACTGCCGCCCAGCCTGCAGCTGAAGTGCGATTCCAGTAATTCCTCCCCACGAGCTCATTAAAGCGGCTTGAAACGTGAGTCTTGCTGCCCAGAGTGAAGGTGGGCCAGTCCGTGCGGAGCTCCGAGCGTTCCGTGCGGCCTGGGTTAGCCGCCGGGGTCCGAGGGAGTGTCCTGAAGGCGGAGACAGTGAGTCCCCCTCTGGCCTTCACTCCGGCAGGAACTGCTTCAAAGTCGCGATCCTAATGGTTCTTGCACACCGTGGGTTCTCTCGGGTAGCTCTGTTCCACTCACCCAGTGGCACGTGATGGTCACTGTCCCCGTAAACGGTAACCGAAACGCTCCAGGAAGCTGCCCCGGTCTGCAGCTCCGCGTGGGCACAGGGCCCGGAGGTTGGCTGGCTCAGGCCCGAGCCCTCAGGGAGGCGGGGGCACCGGGCGCCCACCTGGAGGCTGTCTGTCCAGCCCCCAGGCCAGTGTCTGGTTCACGGGGGCCCCACCCGTGGTCCCTCTGCTTCCCGGTGCCCTGCTCCTCCGCCACGTAAGCTTGGGGCGCTGCACTCACCCGGCTTGTTTTCCTGCCCTGTGTCGAGCTGCTCCTCGGGATCCAAGTTTTGTATCCGGGGAGCCCCCGGAGGCGGCAGCCCCCTGCCAGCCTCCCTGGCTCCACACACAGCCTGGGCAGCCTCAGCCAGAACCTCTCTCACCCGGCCATCCGTCTTCCCGACCGACCCCAGCCCAGCCTGTTGGCTGCCCGTCCGTCAAGGCATGCCCCCGGGGCCCTCCACAGGTCCAGGGGAAGGACACACACACACACTCTTCCTCCAGAATTTGAAAACCGCAAGCTTGGTATTTCGTCCAGGTGTTCTGCTGACCTGGAAGTGGTTTTGGGTGGTGCCTCCCTGCGTCGCCTCTTCCCGTTCTTGTCCTCAGGGCTCCTGAGGCTGAGCTCCCTGCCAAGCCAGGAGGGTGCGCCGCAGCTCCTTTGACAACTTACTACTTTTCCTGCAGATGATATGCTCTTTCGTATTTGCTTTCTGTCCTCAGGAATCTAACCTCACACCTTCCATACACTCAGGGTACCTTTTGGAGCTGGTCACAGTCCCCTTCGCCTCTCCCTGTGTGTGGCTGGCCCTGGGGCCCTGCGTTCAGGCGCCTCTTTCTAGCAGAGACCCAACCCTCCTCCAGTGTGCGGTCCTGGTGGCCTCCGGGGGGCCAGGGTCTCTGCGTGTGTCCTCACCAGTGTTAGCAGCCCTGGCCTGGGAGCGCCTGCCACAGGCAGACGTGGGACCCAGAGCGTGAGCTCCTTCCTGCAGCGGCTGTCGTGATCCCGCGGTGCGGTCACTCCTGGACATCAGGCTCTGCAGCCACCCCAAACTGGTACTGTCAGTTCTGGATGCCAGACCTGTTTGCCTGAACGGCCTGTGAATGGGACGGTGCGAGTGACCTGGTTCTCGAAGCGCCCAAATCAACCTGATGTTGTCCATATCATAACACTCGGAGCGCTGCAAGGGCAGGTGTCCTTCCCCTCGGCGGAGGCCTTGCTGGTGGACGTCGGCACGGGGTTCAGCGGGCCAGCGTGTGGCCGCGGGCCTTGGCGTTCCTGCACCCACCCTGGTGCACCCCCAGCCCTGCTGATCTGGGGGGCTTGCTTCTGCGTGGCCCTGGGCTGAGTGGGGCAGCCAGCAGGGGTGGGGTTGGGCTCCTGTCCCGCGGCATTTAGGGCTCAGGCCAGGGAAGGGCTGCTGGTCAGGGGACGGGTGCGGGCTGCAGGGCAAAGGTGGGACAGTCTCCACTGTCCTCCGCTGAAACAGCTTGGTAGTCGGGGAGGTTCCAACCCGCAAGCATCCTGCAAGATTCAAAACTCACTTTTCCCATTCTTGCCAGATCCTCCACGGAGACACATGTAGGGGAGATGAAACTGGAGAATGCAGAAGACGCTTCATTCCCGCGAGCCCAGTGCGTGTGATCTCCAGCTGTCTGCGTCAGCCTCACCAAAGAGGCGGGTGAGGCAGGGTGCTCATCTGGAAACCAGGTCCCCGGGCCAGGACTCGGGCCGGAGCACGTGCTCATTTTTAACCCTTTCTGCAGGGGACGGAATGGGCCTGCCTTGTGTAGCGTGGGCCTTTAGAAGGCAGCTGACCTGGGGGCACTTCTTCAAACACATCACTCTGTGGATTGGAATTCATGGTTTCTAAGGTACCGAATGGGGGCTCTAACAAAAGCATTGCCTTAGACTTACGTCAGTGGTTTTCCTGGTAAAGTCTCTCCTGCAACCTCGGGGCTGACGGTGAACCCCTGTCTCAAAGGGGACTGCATACCCAGGCCACCATCACTCTGCTGTGCTCGGCTCCTGGGCAGCTTGCAGTGACAGCAAGCACATTGGAATTTGTGTCCCTGAGAAGTTACTCGTCTTTGTGGTCAACCTTTTGGAAGAAATGGATTTGGATCAATTGGACCTGAATCCCAGAATTATTGCTGCAGTTAAGAAAGGTATATTTATTGACGTTTGGATCGAGTAGATATGTGAAATGTATGGATGTACGTGCACACAATGCATGAAAAACAAGTTAACAGTATTGCCTGTCCAAGTCCTCCCCTTCCCCAAGACAACTGATCCTGATTAGAGACCCGTGCTGGAATGTGTTGCAGGTTTTTCGGTTGTGTGTGTGTGTGTGTGTGTGTTTCACTGAGCACTTTTTTAAAGTTCGTTTTATTTTCATCAAAGGTACTACATGTGTATTGTCTAAAAAGTGAAAGGGGACTACTTTCACTTTTTGCTTATGTTGCTGTGTTCAATTTGTCAATGTCGGGGATTACTCACAGAGTGGGTGTTACACTGATGAGGACTGGCTTGCTTGTGCCCCCACTTACTCCACTCCTCCCCCCACAGTTGGAACGCAGTTTGGGCCATTAGGGTTTTGACTGGGGACATGATGACTACTGCTGAACTGGGAGGTTAAGATTGTTTTCTTTCTTGTCCCATCTTTGTTATTTTTCCCCAATGTTGTTAGTTGCCTCTTTTTTTTCCAATGCTGTGTTTTCTGTGTATGTCTCACTGACTTTCCCCACATTGTCTAGTATGTCCATCAAGTACCAGTGCCTCATTTTTAAATGCTCAAAGGGTTGAACAGCTCACCCATTCTGTTTGTTTCCTGGTGCATCCATCCCCAGCTATCCTGCACCAGCTGGCATCCTGGGACTCCCTTCCATCTCCCCTGTCTCCTGGGGCATTTGATGGGGAAACTTCAACATTAGGATGCTTATTGATCATATAACATGGAATCCTAAGTACACATGGGGGCTGGTGCAGCAACATGGTGATGTCCTATATGGGGGCAGAGTCTTGAGGTCCTGTTCCTTCATCCCTGGCTCTTGGTTTTTTTCAGAGCCCATCAGTCGTTTTGCTTTGTTTTCCCTTTCATTCAGCCTGTCCATCTGTTTTAACTGGAGCGTTCAGTGCATACATATTTAAGGGAATTCCTGATACATGTGGGGTTAAGTCTGCCTTATTATGCTGAGCTGTTTTTTGTATTTCTTTTTGTGGTGGTTTTCCATTTTTGGCTTCTGGATTGGTTGAATATGTTTTTAGCAAATTTATTTTGTACTAGTTTGAAAGTAATGCATTTATCCAAGCCCAAAATTAATTTATCCACTCTCCTCCCCAAATACCAGACCTTTTGGACACATTAACTCTGTAACCCTCCCCACCTAGCTGTTGCCCACTGGCATTGTAACCCTCATGCATTCTTTGCTGTTTGTCCCCCGGCCATCCCGCCCTCCCCACCATGCCAGCAGTCTGGTACAGCGGACGCTTGTTTGGAACCCAGCTCAGCTTTCCGTCCTGCACCCCTTCCCTCATGCATGGTCCTCAGCCTGCCCTGGAATCATCCTCTAGCCTTGCCTACGTGTAGGCCTGCCCGGCCACAGAAACCTCCTTTCTTGAGAGATGTTTCTGGGGTGCGGAACTGGGTTGCATCCACTGCTCTGGGCACCTGGGAGAGGACCCTCTCATCTCTGGCTCCTGCTACTGCAACTGTGAGGTGGGGCTCCCCCAGGCCCCCTCCCTCCTCCTTGCTGTCATCACACTCTACCCAGGGGCTCCCAGAGCCTCAGGGAGTGGATGGATCAGGCCCCTGCCGCCGGGTCCCCAGCATTAGAAGACAGCATTCCTGAAAACACCTGTTGTCATTGTCGTGTTGCCTTGTGTTACCGTAGTCTGAACTTGCCCTGTAATTTATTTGTATAATTTCAGCCAAACTGAAATCAGTGAAGGAGGTTTTGCATTTTTCTGGACCAGACTTGCAGAGACTGACCCGCCTCCCCAGCCTCGACGTGCAGCACTTGCTGAGAACGGCCTCTTCACACCTGCAGGGGAGCCGCGTCTGCACAGGTTCACACGGAGAGCGTCAGGATGGGGACCTGTCAGGTGGCGGGGGGGGGCATGGGGCCCTCGCTTCCGAGGTTCCGCTCTTGGGCCAAAAGAGATGGGACCGAGCCAAGGGGCGCGGGAAGCAGGGGTGAGTTGGCAGTCAGAGCCCGGAGCCCCCAGGTGCCTACAGAGCACTGCAGCGGCCGGGACCGCCTCCTCCCTGCCGGCTGGCACCTCGTCCAGCCACGTGACTGAGGTCACCTGTCCTTCCACCACGTGGTGCCTGACACCCCCCCCCCCCCCCCGCCGCATTCGCAGCGCTGCATCTGCACCAGCAGAAGCAGAGGTTCCCCGCGCAGCACCAGCGCCTGAGCCTGGGCTGCCCCGTGCTCGACGGGCTTCTCCGCGGCGGCCTGCCTCTGGACGGCCTCACCGAGCTGGCCGGCCCCAGCTCCGCCGGCAAGACCCAGCTGGCGCTGCAGCTCTGCCTGACCGTGCAGTTCCCGCGGCGGCACGGAGGCCTGGAGGCCGGTGAGTGGCTGCCCCGAGGCGGGGGCAGAGTTGGGGGGGGCCTGCCCAGGAGTTGGGGGGGCCGGCAGTGCCGGGGCCGCACTCCACGGAGGCTGCGCCAGACGTACCCACGCGGTATTCCCGGTTCCATCTTTCTCTTCACGTCTGCCGTCGATTCCGCCCCCCGGGGGGCAGGGTCCGAGGGCTGCCGCCTGTCCGCCTGTCCTCCTGTCCGCCTGTCCGCCGTTGGAGCGCCCCGCCCACCTGCGCCTCCTCCCTGGTGACCCGCGGAGCCGCCTCCGGCGGAGCACAGGGTCCCCTCGAGGGCTGTGGGCCTGGCCCGAAGGTTCCTGCGACCTCGTCCACACAGGCTCACACCACCAGTCTGCACACGCGCGCTCGTTCACACACGCTCACACCAGCCTGCACACACGCGCTCGTACACACGCTCACACCACCAGCCTGCACACACACGCTCATACACACACGCTCACACCAGCCTGCACACACGTGCTCGTTCACACACGTTCACACCAGCCTGCACACACGCGCTCGTACACATGCTCACACCAGCCTGCACACACACGCTCATTCACACACGCTCACACCAGCCTGCACACGCGCTCGTACACACGCTCACACCACCAGCCTGCACACACACGCTCGTACACACACGCTCACACCAGCCTGCACACACGCGCTCGTACACACGCTCACACCAGCCTGCACACATGTGCTCGTTCACACACGCTCACACCAGCCTGCACACACGCGCTCGTCCACACACGCTCACGCCAGCCTGCACACACGCTCGTATACACACACCACCAGCCTGCACACACGCACTCATACACACACGCTCACACCAGCCTGCACACGCGCTCGTACACACACGCTCACGCCAGCCTGCACACGCGCTCGTATACACACACCACCAGCCTGCACACACGCACTCATACACACACGCTCACACCAGCCTGCACACGCGCTCGTACACACACGCTCACACCAGCCCGCACACACGCGCTCGTTCACACATGCTCACACCACCAGCCTGCACATGTGCTCGTACACACGCTCACACCAGCCTGCACACACGTGCTCGTTCACACACGCTCACACCACCAGCCTGCACACACGCGCTCGTCCACACACGCTCACGCCAGCCTGCACACGCGCTCGTATACACACACCACCAGCCTGCACACACGCACTCATACACACACGCTCACACCAGCCTGCACACACGCACTCGTTCACACATGCTCACACCAGCCTGCACACGCGCGCTCATACAACGCTCACACCACCAGCCTGCACACACGTGCTCGTACAACGCTCACACCACCAGCCTGCACACATGCGCTCGTACACACGCTCACACCAGCCTGCACACACGCACTCATACACACACACTCACATCAGCCTGCACACACGCGCTCGTACATACGCTCACACCACCAGCCTGCCAACCCTGCGGTCCACAGAGGCAGAGCCGGGCAAGCAGTATTTCGCTCTTCTGCTTCGGGGAAGGAGTGTGGGGGCTGGGGCCCCAGGGCTGTGGGGGCGGGCGGGCCTGTGCTGCATGGCAGGGGCCGGGCCGTCCTCCTTGCATTGCTTTGTGTGGCTGACATTTGTACAGGGGCTACGCGGTGGAGGGACTTTTCCAGGCTGCCTGCGTGAGTCACTCAAGCGTTCAAAATCCAAATTGTTTTTACTAAACGTGAGGTCACTGGGGCGCACGTGCCGTTGCTGGGTAGCTGCCTCTCTGACGCCCCATGGTCCCGCCTCGCTACCAGGCTGCACACAAGCCGGCGGCAGCCCCAAGCTCCCGCGCGCGCCCCGCTGCCCGGACAGGCTGGGCCACGTGGCGGGCTGGGGAGGCAGCCGGGGCCAGACGTCCCGCCCCGGTGACACGCACCGGGATTATGCGCAGGGCCCCCCGCGGGGGCGCCGACAGCAGGCCGCTCGGTCTGGAATCTCTCCCGCTTCCCGTTAGCACCGTGAGCTCTCGTGGGGGGCCGGGTCTGCACGGCTCCCATGAACCCCCGGTGTCTGGCGCCGGCCGGGTCTGCTGGCCACGGGCAGGGGCTCCCGACGACGTGCGGCGCCTGCTCACACCTGAGGCGGGCGTTTGTCTGTCAGTCCTGTCCCTGCGTCTCTGTGCGAGGTGCAGTCCGGGCGGGCCTAAGGGCCAGGCGCCTGGTGCTGGTGCTGGGTGGATGGACTTGGCCTTGGAAGCATGAAAGAGGCACGATGATGCCCAGCTTGCGTCTGCTCAACCAGTGTGTCCGCGGGGCCCTGTGCGGGGGGGTGCTGCGCCCGAGACAGGCCGGGTGTGGAGTGCAGGGCTGGCCGTCCAGCCTTGATCCTGAAGCTCTCCCAGCCTGGTCTCCTTCATGCCACGATGGCCTGCAACCTTCTGGCCCAGCAGACCCCTTTTCTCCTGGATGGGTCACATGAGCAGTTAACCACTGGCATCTGTGTCCAGGCTGGGTCCGTACTCAGGGCGGGCCTGGCCTGGGGGAGCGGGAAGGGCACCACGAGGTCGGGTCCTCGGAGCTGCCTGGGCCCACCCCTCCTGGCGCCGGATGCCCCGAAAACATCCCGCAGCAGAGCCTGTGACCCCCACTCTGGGACACGGCAGGCCCAGCGTGGCCCCTCAGCTGCCTGCACGCTCGCTCGAACCCCGGCCTGAGGTGACCCTGCCCCATGGAGAAGCCTGCCTCATCCACCGCTGGTCTGGGGGGTCTCCACCCCTCCACCACCGCCATGCCACCCAGGGGCCTCTCAGTGACAGCCACGGCACACCACGCGGGCTGCGCTGGGGATCAGAGGCCCGTGCTTCCAGCTCCTGCACGGAGCCCCCCGCGTCTGCCAGACAGAAGCAGGGACGCCAAGAGCCAGGAACTGGTGGGCATGAGGCTGTGGGGAGCCGAGCTGCTGGGTGGCCAAGGAGGCTCTGGGGACGTCCGTCAGACGCCGGGCTATGGGCCGGCCGCACAGGCTTTAGCCCCGGGGAAAGGAGATGTGACCACAGTGGCAGGGGGGACCTGGAGAGAGCCGGGCGGATGTCCCGGGCCCCGAGGTGGCCCCGAGGTTACTGTGACATTAAATGTGGCATCCAAGATGCCCGTTTTCCTGACAAAATAACTCCTTTAACCCAGTGAGATCTGAGAGCCCTAATTTTGAAAAGGATGGTGAAGACACTCTGGACTTATTTGAATCCTGCACTTGATGGAGCCCCCTCTCTCCCTGGCCCGTCACCATCTGCCGGGGCCACCCTGGAGAAGCCACCATGGCCTGTGGCGGGTGGGGGCAGCACGGCGAGGCCCTGTGCCTCTCCCAGCCACACACCCAGGGGGGTAAAGGGGCTTTGGGGCTGCGCAGACAGGCTCGGTTCCACGCTGAACCTTCCATCCAGCCCGCTCTCCCCAGACCGGCCAGCACGGTCACACCCAGCTGCCCCCGGGGCGGACAGGGTCAGGGGCTCAGCCGTGTCTGCAGGCATTTCCCGAGGGATGGTCTGGAATGTGCCCAGGAAGGTTAAGGAGCTGCTGATGGTCAGGCGCTCGCTACAGGCTTGGTGGTTCTCGTCCCGCCACGTATCCGTCTCTTAAGTGTGAAATTCTGCCAAAACACAGTTACATCAAAGTCAAAGCTAGGCACAAACAGGGTGCGTGTGCATACGTGGTGTGGGTCCTTTGGTTCGTCCGGTTCCCCTGCCTGGGGCTGTGCAGCGACCGATGCGGGTGAGGGACCCGAGTCTGCTGGGGGCCCTGGGGGGCAGAGCCAGCTCTCCACCAGAATACCAGCTGCTTCTTTTTTTAAAAAATTTAAATTTTAAAAAATAGTTCACGTACCATAAAATTAAAACGTACAATTCAGTGCTCTTTAGGGTATTCACAGAGCTGTGTTTCCATCGCTACTGCCTAATTCTAGAACATTTCACGGGCCCTCCCCACTGCCCACTGGCAGTCCCGGCTCCACTTCCTGCCCCGGGATTCGCCTGTTCCGGACGTCTCGCGGAAGTGAGATCCTAGGTCGTAACCTCTGCGGTCTCTCTTCCCTCCCTCGACATGATGTTGGCACGGTTCGTTACGTTGGAACACGTGTCGTACTCGGTTCCCTTTTCCGGCTGAACAATATTCTGTTGTGTGTCCAGAGCACGTTTGTTTGCCCATCCACCCGTCCATGTGACGTGGCTTCCACCTCGTGGCTTTTGTGGACAGTGCTGCTCTGAATGCTGGCGTACGTGGCTCGTGAGCACGCGCGCACCCAGGACCACGGGGTCCCGTGCACGTGCTGCATCCGAGTGGGTGAGGGGCCGCCAGCCGGCATGCCACCCCCATCAGTGCACTGTCCTCGCTGACGCTGGACTTTGTGATCTGAGCCACCGTCGTGGGTGGGCGGTGGTCCCACGGTGGATTTGATCTGCATTTCCGGATGTCTGAGGGTGTTCGCGACTCCTGACGGGCCCGTCGACCATCTCACGTCTCCTGTGGAGAAAGGTCTGTTCAGATCCTTTGCCGGGTTTCTGACTTGGGTCGTCTTGTGGTCGAGTTGTAAGAACTCTCTGTATGACGTGGCTGCGGGACTCTTCCCAGACACGGAATTTCCTGTATTTTCTCCTCTCTGGGGGGTGTCTTTTCATTTTCTTGATGGTACCGTGTCGATCAAGTGCAGTTTCTCTCTCTGCCTTTGCTCACTGTTGGTGTCACATCTGAGAATCCAGTGCTGAATCCAAGGTCACAGAGGCTTCCCGTGTTTTCTTCGGAGTTGGGTGCCCTGGCAGCGCCTGGCCTGCAGGGACCCAGCTGTCCCAGCGCCATTTGGTGGAGAGACCATTCTGTCGTTGAACTGTCCAGGGACCTTGGTTGAAAATCAGTTGCCACAAATGTTAGGGTTTACTTCGGACAGCCCCCAGTTCTCTCTAGCTGTGGGCTTGGGGTCCATTCCCCGGAGCGGAGATCCAGGCCCGGGCCGGGCTGTTGCCCCAGCGTGTCCGGGCTTCTGGGGACGCGTGACCCGCTGTTTGCCGACTGGCTTTTCCAGTCACACACAGACATGGTTGTCGCCGTGCAGGCCCGGATGGAGCAAGGAGCCGAGAGCAGAGCCTCTGAGGGATGGCCCCGCGTGCTCAGGAAGGGCATTGCCAGAAGCCTGAGCCCTGAGAACTCCGTTCACGTCCACTCGAGACAGGCTGGGGACAGGCCCGTGGGGTGGCATCCTGTCAGCAAGGAGGGGCCCTCTGTCTTCCCAGGGGCCGTGTACATCTGCACGGAAGAGGTCTTCCCCAGCGCGCGTCTGCAGCAGCTCATGGCTCAGCAGCGGCGCCTGCGGACGGACGTGCCGGGAGACGTGGTCGACAGGATAAAATTCGGCAACCAGATCTTTGTTGAGCACGTGGCCGACGTGGTGAGTGTCTCTGTGGCCCTGAGTGCCGAGGGGAGGTCGGTCCGGTGGGCAGGGCCACACACGAGACCCCGGGCCACCCCCAGTACCCGTCAGCAGAGACACGTGCCTGCCCACGCGGGCCACACGTTCAGAGCCACACGATCCGGTACCGGAAATTCCGTTCGGACCAGGCATCCTGTGGGACTCGTCACCCCCACGCACAAGGAGTGGGGGAGGGCGGCCCCGCGGGCGCAGGGGTGCCCAGCACAGCGCCTCCTGCCCTGCCCTGCGCCCCCAGCCATGGTGCTCAGTCCCCTGGAAAAGGCCGCAGCTGCAGGGGGCACCTCCCACCGGCCACCCCGTGGTGCCCGCTGCCCACACGACAGGGCCTGCGGCCCAGGCCAGCCGTCCCAGCCAGAGCAGTCTGTACTGGGTTTTATTTTTGCCTCTGGCGGAGCAGGAAGCCCCCCGTCAGGGCACAGGAGCCCCCCCGGGACGCAACCCGGCCAGGGCCTAGCAGGTCCCCAGCCCCAACAAGCCCCTCAGATGGCTGGCTGCCACCTGGCCACAGCACTCGGGGGACAGATCTGGAAGCATCAGCAAGTGACAGGTCCCTGCCGGTGCGCAGAGAGCAGTGGCGGGAACCCCCAGGGAGGGGACAAAGGGCTGGGAGGTCAGGGCAGGTCCAGCAGGCAGGGGGAGCGGAGCTGTGGCCCGGCCGGCTGCCGCCGTAGCGCACTGAGGCGGAGGGATGGAGGACGGCGGGAAAGGTGGCAGGTGAGGACGCAGCAGTGCGCCGGAGGAGAGTAAGGCAGGCCTCTGCGTGGGGCCGGCTCCCGGGCACGTCAGCAGCGGCCGGCAGAGCCCCCCCCGACCCCGGTGGGCCTCCCCCCGTTTAAAGATTGTTAAAAAAATTACAAGCAAAGGGTAAGGTATATAAACTTTTAATTTTTAAAAAATGTACAATGAAACCTATCTCACACAGCTTGGGGAAGTAGCACGGTAAGCGCGGCCCACGGGGCCCGCAGCCACGGCCTCTTCCACGGAGGGTCAGGACACAGGTGGCCTGCGGGTCTCCCGGAGCCGCGGCCCAGCAGGGAGGCCGCGCCCACCCCGCCATCCTGCAGGGGCCAAGCGTGGCCATGGCTTTGCGAGCGACGCGCGTCCCGACGAGCAGTGTGGTTGTTAGTGGGACAGTGTGCTCCGTGGCACGGGGACACGGGGGAAGACGAGGTTAGTGCTGCAGGCCTCCGGCTCCAGGGCCCTCCAGCCTCGGTGGCCGTCCCCCGGCTGTCACAGGGCTGCCCCTGGCGGCAACAAGCAGCGTCGTCCTGGGTCTTCCAGGCCAAGACCGGGGGTGGCTTCACTGCGAGAGAGGGCCGCCGTCAGGGCCAGGCCGCCGAGACCCATGGGGGCCTAAGTGTGGTTCCGAAGACAGCTCTGGGGGCGGAAGGCTTCCAGCCTCTTGCCCAGTGGGGCCCCCACCTGCCCAGCCCCCAGGCACCCCCGGAGCCCCCCGCGGGGACGGGGACGGGGGGGGGGACTCACATTACCGCTGGCGTCCTCGAGGCCGCTGCTGCTGTCATTTTCCACAGAAAGAGGCTCTACTGGAGACGCCCTAGAGACGGAAGCACAGACGGGGCTTCGGTCAGGGGGGCCGGCCAGCGCGCGGTCACTGGGCACCAGGGCCCAAGTCCAGGCCGCAGGGCAGCCGGCTCCGAGGGGCAGGCCTGAGGCCCCGGAGGGTGGGCAGAGCCCGGGGGCACCTCACAGTACGGGCGGCCCCACCCCACTACCTCCTTCCTCCCTGCACTGGGGGCTGCTGGGCAGGGGGCAGGGCGCCCCCACACCCGCCTGGCAGGACCGTGGCGGTGACGAGTCAGCCTCGCGGCGTGGCTGCGTCCAGACTCAGCGCCTGGCATGGGGCCACGGAGGGAGGAAGGCCTGGTCACTGTGATGGCCCCACGGGCTGTTGGCCCCACTGGAGACTCGAGAAGTAAAGGGACGGGCGTCAGGGGTCCCTCAGCACAGGGCAGCCGGGGAGACACCAACAGCAAGGGCGGTGACGCCACCCCCTCGGCTTCCAGGACACCCTCCTGGAGTGTGTGAGGAAGAAGGTGCCCGCGCTGCTGTCTCGGGGGATGGCCCGTTTGGTGGTCATCGACTCCGTGGCCGCCCTGTTCCGCTGCGAGTTTGACGGCGCGGCCTCGGTCCCCAGGGCCAGGTGTCTGCAGGCACTGGGGGCCGCCCTGCGCCAGCTGAGCTGCACCTTCCAGAGCCCGGTGCTGTGCATCAACCAGGTGGGTAAACCCCCCGCCCCAGACGGCAGATGTCCTCGGCTTCCATCTTAAGCAGCAGCTCGGGGAGGGCAGAGCCAACCACGCCAGGGTGGGCAGCGTGGGGTCCTCGCTGCAGCTGACCCCAGTCTGCACGTTCCAGGTGACAGAGGTCACAGAGGAGCAGGGCACGGCACCCGGGCCACAGGGGTGAGCACCACCTCCCCAGCACCCCCCCCCCCCCCCGGGCAGGAGGGCCGCCCAAGTGGCGGTGGGACCCCTGTGGTTTTGTAAGTAACGGTTGGGCCTGTTTTCTGTCTCAGCGTCTGGGACGAGCGGGTTTCTCCAGCTCTCGGAATGACCTGGTCCAACCAGCTCCTAATGAGACTGATGGTCAGCCGGCGCCGCCCCGACCGCACCCTAAGGGTGGTCTTCGCCCCTCACCTGCCCCCCTCGTCCTGCTCCTACACAGTCAACGCGGAGGGAGTGCGAGGGACTCCTGGGACCGCGTCCTGCTGACACGGCAGCTGTGGGTCGGCCGCAGGTTCTGGCCGCGCCTTCCCCGCTCTGCAGGCACGGGGGGCCGACGACCCCGCACACCCATCGCTGGGTCAGGATGTGCTTGACGACGGTGTTGGCCGCACCTTCTCCACGGCAGGGAGGCCGTGCGCACGGATGACCTGCCCGACGAGGCCTCCCCGTGTGCCCCATGCTCCCCTCACCACAGCTCGCTCTCCGCCAGACTCTGCCCTAAGTAACTCCTCCACGTTGATGCAGGTCTTCTCCCCAGCCCCTGGGGATGGGGAGTTACCATCCTTGGTCTCAGGGACACTGAGGCACAGAGCAGTCCAGTGACCTGGCCATCCCCCCCCCGCAGTTCCATGAGCCGGACACTGACCCCAGGCTGGTGCCAGGAAGACAGGCACACGCCTGACCCAGTACTGGGGTGGAGGCAGAGGTCCCTGGGACTGGGCAGACTCCTTCTGTTCGGACATTTTCTAGAGCAGAAACATTCATCTGTAATTTCTATCCCCTTGTTAAAATAGTCTGTGGCCGTCAAAAGCGTAAGAATGGCCGGTATAAACAGGAAAAAGGTCTTTTAGGGCTGCAATTTTATAAAAGCCTTTCTGCAAGTGCAGGGACTTCACACCAGGAAATAAACCATTTTATTTTCGTAATTAAATAATAAACAATCCCAAATTATTTTCTAGGCAAATCACACTAACAGTGAGGAAACTACAATCCAAGACAGAGTGTACACGTGGCAGACGGGCCATCCCTGGGGGGATGCACACCAGTGCTGGGGCCCCTGCCCACCCGTCCCAGAGGGACACCCCTGCAGCAGGGTGGTCTCCCCGTGACACAGACGGCCCAGACTCCTGGGCCCTGCACCATCCCCTCTGTCCCATGCACTTCTCAGTGTTGTCAGGCAGGCCTCACAGACCTGGGGTCCCCCTGCCCCGAGGGCTCCCCCGAGGACGATGGGGACAAATGTGGAACAGTGCGTGTCTTTAGGCCTGCCCCCGTCACATGTAGGATGCGGTGCACCCTGACGGGACGCCCTCCGCTGATGGGAACCTCACCCTCGGTCGCTGCTTTACCACTTCAGAATTTTCAGAAGTTTGAGGACCGTACAGCGTACTGCTCAGGAAGAAGTGCACATATAAACATCTCCTCTCCGTGCTTCCCAAGAACATTCTACAAAGTTATGACGACGGGCAGTCTGTTCTATGAACTGTAAACGATGTATTCTTAGCAATATTTGTTACCATAAACACTGAATTTCTCATCACATGCTATTTCTAGCAGCTTTCTGAACAAACAAATGATAGGAATTTTTTAATTCCAGGAAATAACAGACTCCCTCCGATACCGTAAATACAAAGCAAGCACCACAGAGCCCGCTGGCCCCGTGAGCTGCCGGGTCGGCTGCCTGGGGGAGAGCGGGGAGGGTCGGGAGGCCCAGGCCTGCCACGGCCTCCACCCTGACGACCTGTGGAGGGGGCTCTGCGGACCGTGGCCGGCTCCTGTCCCCCTCCTGCCTGTCCGCTGGCCGGGGCTCGAACGGGACAGGAATGATGTAGTGGGTGCTGACGCTCTAAGGGTCGCCCCACCAAGAAAGGAAAACGTTGCGGAAGAGGGACAGCCACCCCTACTGCTTCTCTCTTCGAGAACGTGAAAATCCACACAAGACTCAAGTGAAGTAGTGATAACCAGGCTCGTTTCTGTTTTGATACAAGTTCAAAAATCACAGATTTCCAGGCAGTGTCCCCTGAGACAGGAAGGTTTCTTACGACCTGCTTTAAGGAGGCCGCCTGGCTTCTCTCACCCCGGCCACATTTCCGCACAGCCCCACAAGGCAACCTCGGCCCTCAGAGAACCAAGTGGGGCGATTTGACCAAGGCCCCTGCACGGTGGCCCGTTTCCACCACCTGAGAGCGTAACGGTAAATCCCGTTCTCAGCCCCATGTTCTCCAGATGGAAGCGTCACTAAGGGCAACGGGGTAGGTTTCCAATGCACTGGATTCGCTTCGTGGCCCGAGGAGCACTGGGGACCGAGGGGAGGGGGCGGCTCCCGGGACCCTCCCCAGCAGCCACACCACGCCCTGGCAGCCGCCGCGCCTCGAGGGCAAGTGCAGAGCGCACAAGGCCTCTGCGGGGACACGGCTCCGGCGTTCTCTTGGCTCGAGCGTCTCACAACCCGTCCCACGTGTAAACCAACCCTGGAGAGCGTTTACAAAGTCCGTTCCTGGTCCCTGGGGAGCTGCAACGCCGGGCCAGCCGGGCCAGCCGGGCACTGCGGAAAGAGGCCAGACGCAGGGCTCCTGCAGGCAGGACACCTGCAGTCAGGACACAGAGCGCCAGTCCCTGGGCGGGAACGAGCACATGGCCACAAACACCGGCGGGCAAGGCCACGTGCTCCTGTGGTCTTAAATGATGGGACATTTCTGAACAGTTTCCAGCCCGCAGCCCCTGAAGGACACGTGCAGTATGTGGAGGCCCCCCGGGCGACCCCTCAGGGAGTCCCGGTGAGCACGTACCCCCGCAGAGTGCAATTCAGGAGGGAGACGTGACTGAGGACAAACAAAAGCATGTCCCCTTGCGGTGACACCACCGAACATTAAGGTCACAAGCAAGAGCATACACAGGGACGCTCTGAGTTTCTCGATCCCCCTCATCTACCTGCTGCGTCTTCACGCTCCCGCCCACTGGCCCGGATGAGGCCCTTCTCACCGCCGCTGCCACCAGGAGCCACAAACCCCTTGTCGTCTGCTCAGGACGTTCTAAACCCACCCGTGAGCCTCACGCATCCCCTCACGGGTAGGGCCCTGGGGGACTGGGAAATGTTCCTGTCAAAACCTACCCTGTGTTACTTAACGCTACAAAGAAAAGCTTTTTAAAGCTAAATCCCACATCTCTGCCTGCTCAGCACTCAGGGGCCGGCAGAGGGAAAACGGGCTCCGCAGGGGCGGGCTCAGGAGCCCGCGGAGCGTCCGGCAGAGCCGTGGAGGGGACACACTGCAGGTGCGGGGACTCAGCAGAGACCCAGACCCACTGGCAAGTCACCCACTCTCTGAATTCCAGGCAGCACTGCCAGAGCTCATCAAATGCTTAGTCTAGAAGGGTGCAAAGTTCCAGAGCTTCCGTTTACAGCCCTGATACAGTATTAAAATATAAAATCGATTCTGGCGTAATGGCAGGAAGGACAAGCATCCATGGGCAGCAGCCGACCTGAACGTGCCGAAGCCAGCTGCCGGGGCCGTGTGGGCCGCCGTGGGCCGCCGTGGGCCGCCATGCCCGGCCGGTCTCACGCTCATGCGTCGGCAGCTCTTGGTCGCTAGCGCCGCAGCCAGCTTAACGGAACTCGGGACAAACCCCACGAGCTGGTGGACGGCACTACCTAGGAAAGGAAGCAAGCCGGGAGGTGGGTCCCCTGCAGCGGGGGGAGGGGTGTGGCAAAGCCTGGAGGGTCTCGGTGCTTCGTTAGTCTCGGGGGTTTATCTAGCTCTGCCTCGGCCCTCAGAGGGCCAGGTCAGTGTGGCTGGCACTCAGAGCTCGCGAGTCTGCCAGACGAATATTTCGTTCCTGCGTGAAGAACAAACAGGAAAATTACACTCCACCCGTACTCCAAAGGACACCAGCATCAAGGCGTCTCCGAGCTCACAGTCACAGCGGTACACCTCTGAAGTCAACACTCGGGCATCCTGATGCTCACGTGCACACGGGCCAGCACCGAGAGAGGAGTGCGGGACCCGGTCGGCCCAGACCTTCTGGGACGGCGACACCTTTCACTCTCACGAGCAGGCACGCTCCAAGCACACCGGCCAGCACCACCAGCACCTCACATCTCACCGGGGGCCTGGCAGAAAGCACCCCGGGAAGAGCCACCTCCTGCGGTGCTGGGGGCTGAGGAGGAAGGCCTGCTACCACCCGTGAGCACCCGAGAGGTGAGCAGCTGGGCCGGGGCTGCTAAGAGGTGCAACGGCCAGGACGTCTGGTCGCTGGCGGACGAGCAGTAACTGCTAAGTCAGAAGGTTCTCGTTCCCGTAAGCTCAGCTGCAGGCTCAGCTGCCCGGTCTGCTCGGCACCCTTGGCCGCACCCGACAGCCACACCAGACGTTGGAAAGAAACGGAAAATTGGAAGAAGGTCCCAACGGTTTTAAATGTGAAGGAGACAGGTTCATGCAAGCCTTGGGACACCAAAAAAAGTGCTACAGATTGGGTGCAAAAGTGACAATATGTCAGTTACATTAGTAAAGGTCTAATAGTTTTAAAACACCGAACAACAGCTTAAATGGACAATGAATTAGTTACAAACTTACCAGAGGCTGAAATCATACAAATTAATACACATTAAGTGACCAAATTTTGATACTACTTTATCGGAATATTTAAATTCTAATTAGCTTAATCAAAGTATTCAAGGATCATGAGTATACTGAGAATGTCCACGATACACACATTCCCACAATTTACGTAATCAAATTAATGCAGAATCTGGAAATGTCATTATGACGCCTCTTTCTCTAAGACCCAGAAAATACTGAAGTGTTCCCCCAAGGCCGTCGGAGGCTACGGTGGTGCCCGGGAAGGGCCTGCGGCCGCCCAGCTCCCTGGGCTGGGTAGTTAAGGGCACTGAGTGGGGCAGGGCTCCTTACTTGGAAATGGTCTTCAGCAGCCTTGCCACCCACGTTAAGGACATTCAGGGAACTGGCACGCTTCATGCTGCAAACAGGGCAGTGGACATGCAAAAGGACAAACCAGCGCGTCAGTCAACCAGGGGCGGCAAACACAGCAAAGACACCCCCAAGGCCCCTGTCACGGTGGGGGGAGCCATCCCTCGTGGAGAGCGGGCCTCTCTCTCGGACTGGGGTGTCTGCCCAGTTCTTAACACAGATGCCCCGCGTCTATCCATATTTAAAGCCCAGTAGAGAAAAAGCACAGTTTCTCTGCATCTGTCTCAGCAAAGTATTTGTCTTAAATACTATGTGTAAATTCCACGTGTCCTCATACGTTCACATTTTGAAGCCTGGCTCGTGGAGGAGCCAAGAAGCTCTGCCCGCGCAGCCCTCTGGCTGGGCCTGAGTCTGCAGGGCATGTCGGATCAGTTTTAAGAAGGAAGCCTGGAGCCTCCTCCAAAACCCACCACTCACCTAAGTGACCATGTAAAAGAGAGACCCCCTGAAGCTCAGTATCTACATATATTCGCGTACTTTGTGTATTTTTAATATTAAATTTTATATTAAAAGGAAAAATAATTATTTATTAGCAAAATACACTCAGAAGCTAGAATTTCTCTGCTTAGAAACCAAAATTTAAAACAAATTTCATGGTTTTACCTTTAAGGAAACCGAGTGATTTAAATGTGTATTTACTTTTTTCTCCCACTTGACACCTTTAAAATACTTGATGAAATATCCTGCAAATAACCTAAAACCTAAACTTAAATGATAGACAGTCATAGTTACTATCACTGCTTACACCACCAGGGATGCCCTCAGACAGTAAATCACCTTAGCTTTTAAAGTTAAAATAACTGATATTAATGGTTATTTTTAAGTATCTGCAATAGGAACTGTAACAATAAATTTACCTACGACATGAACAGTACACACCAGTACCTGCTGTGAGTTGAAGGGTCAGCACAACCAGACATGGGCACTAAGGCCGGGGTCAGCACCCGAGTGCCCACCTGCACCACGGACGGGCGCCGCGCCTGGCAAATGGCAGGTACTGACCAAGTTCTCACTGAATGAACTACGCCAGAAGCAAAAGACCTTAATTCACTTAACCTCAAGTAAAATTCATTCCCAAAATGCCCGAACCAGGACAAACACAACAACCTAACGTATCCTACGTAAGTGCTGCTAGAATTCTGAACAAGTTTTGTCTACACAGCACTGCTCAAGAACAAAGGATAAAATCAAACCAAATCGCACTGGCACACTTTATTATTATTTAAGTGGCCAATGGATTTTTTCTAAGACAGTTCTACAACCCTCTTCCGCAAACTCTCTTTTCCTTACAAGAGCAAGGTAAAAACAGTTTGACTCCTGCCAGTAAGTCTCCCCTTGACTCTGCGAGCTGCATCCACACCCTTCCCTTACACTGTGGGTACCAAACAGGAAGAACGCCGAGTTTGGTGGTTCTCAAAATGTCGTCGTAGACCAGCCACGCTGGCACTAGCTGCAAACTTGCCAGAAAGGCCAATGGTGGGAGGGGTGGGGGTGCAGACCCCACTGCACCATAACTGAAGGCGGGGGCCCAGCAGTCTGTGTTCAAACCCCCCGGAGACGCTGATGCTCAGGTCTGAGAACCACTGGCCCAGTGAATAAAGGCAGTTACTCTTACCTGGACAGACGATGCAGTTTTATGCATTTTTATGGGATAAAATTTCTAGAGCCATTTCAGTTTCCATCAAGTTCAGTAAGGTACCATCTCCAGTACCACACGTGACGTGTGCGCACGGGCGTGGCCAGCGCCACACCGGGGAGCGTCCGCATTGCTACGTCCCGGCCGAGACAGGAAGAAGGCACAGGAGGGGGAGAGAAAAGTTCTGAGCTCTGTCACGTGGGAAGGAAGGGCCACGTCATAGGACTCAGTGCCAGAATTGGATTCTGCATTTAAAAAGCTTCAAAACATCCAGAACCTCCAACAGCCAGTGCATCTGCCCTGGAGGAGCCAAATTATGGCGTGTGGAGAGCACTTCCGCTCATCAGATCCAGCCCAGGAGCAAAAACTAAGCGACTATTCAACAGTCTGTTCAGATCCTTACAACGTGGACAAATAAATAAATAAATAAATAATCTTTCAAAATTCGGTGAGGCAGATAGTTGACCTATCATTTAGTTCTGTAAATATTTTAAAACAAGCGCTTTATCCCAAAGGCAACTTCCTGGATGCACGTTCATCTGTTGGGTCGCAGGCTCTGGTGCAGACGGGACAGGACGGCAGTCTGCTGCTCAGCCCTACAACCTTCCAGAAGCCCCGGCTGGCTTTCAACACTGCATCTTCCAGGCAGTGTCACAACAAACATGTGTGGAGCTCATTTAAATGACTCCCTCTACAGAAACAGGCTTGGAAACATCCTTGAGAAGCAGGGTGACAGCCACCCATACAAATCGCTTGTCCTGCCTCACAAGCCATCAAAAAACATGTGCGTCCATCAGCAGAGACGCCTGGGGGGACAGGGCGGACAGCACACCTGGGCCTCTGCTCCCCAGCTGGGGGGCTGAGCCTGCAGGGCAGCACCAGGGAATCCCAGGGGTCTCAGGAGCTATGCCTTCACTGACAGAGACCAGAACGAGACTGGACACCCCTCAAAACAACACAGGAAGCAGCTGGAAGGGCCCCTAACCTCAGGTCTCCAACACGTCGTATGAAGGGACCCCGCTTCCCAGTCTCAGCGGCGGGAGACTTCTTGCCCACAAAAGGGAAAGCGGAGTTACCTGTACAACAGAGTTTTACTCAGACTCAATCTTTAAAAAGAAGGCACCACTTAGGAATTCAGAGTTTCACGGAACGGCTGATAGAAGAGTGCCTCTGTGAGAAATGCATCCCAAACAAGATGCCGTTTACATCAGAAATAACCCAGAAACGGGGGCAGATTGTTAACACTCTGGTGCACCTTATAAAGAACAGAATACCTCAGAACCAAATTCCTTCGACAACTTCAATGGTATCGTTCAAAAGACTCTAAGACTCAGGAGTGCACCTTCTTTTAAACACGTGGAAAATCTGTTTTTGGTTTTTTTTTTAATTCCTAAAGAAACTCCTTCTACTAAAGTCCTGAATCTGTAATCCTTCTATTTAAAACATTATTCTCCCTACATTAATACCTGTGAGCCTCATATAGTCATGGCTACCGTTATGATTTTAAAAGGATTTTCAAAACTAATTTCACAGGATTTAAACTAGTACTAATTTAAAAAAAGAAAACAGCAGCTCTCTGGAGTAAACACGTGAATGTGCTCCATGTTTTCCTCCGAAGCTCCCCCTTGTCACTGCTAAGGCTTCCTCTGAACACACAACAACCAAATCGCACAGGTCTGTTCGGGAGGCCCCCGCCCTTCGAGCCCCGCCACAGGAAGCTCCACAGCTCCTTCTCCAGGAAGCGAAGAGACAGGCCGGAGCTGCTCCAGCCCCAGGGCGGACATGTGAGGAGCAGCGGGGACGGCTTGGGGAGGAAGGGCCACCGGACGCCGCGCGGCGGGGCGGTCAACAGGGGCTGCAGATAGATAATTACCCGGGGTTCTTTGGCTCACTCTCTCGAGAACTTCCTCCCTTCAGCTTCCTAACCAGCTTCTCACTGCTGCGTCTAATTGAAGCCCGGAGTTTGCTAAAGGAACCACTGCGCTTTAAAGATCCAGTGCCATCCTGAAAGAAACGTGAACACATGTGAAACTGCAGACGGTCCTCTCCCGGCCTCCCGAGAAGCAAAGCTGAATGAAAACAAGAATTCACATCACGGTTGACCTACTTGTCTGTGACTTGCTGGCAATACAGTGGCTACAGAAATTACCAGTTTGCCATGTCTATAAATACACTTTAAATAGAAATCTATCCATTCTAAATTTCAGTCAAGATAATCCAATGATCATGAAAAACCTCTGAACAGGAAGAAGTTCAAACAAAAAACATCCCCAAAAATCATCCTGCTGTTTTGAAACAAAAAAGGTCACACACAGAAAAAGTCTCAAGAAAATTAACGCTGCTTCTTGAAGATGACCAAAATCAAATTCTACGTTTAATAAAAACGGAAGCATCTGGTCCATGTAACAGTACTGGACCCAAACCACTGAGAGATGACAGAGACAACTCTTTTTTTAACACTTTTGTGTACATGCAGTACTTAGATGTACTGCTTCTTCAGTAAATTTCATTTTAGAATATTTATTTATTTATTTATGTAAGTAAGTAACTAAGTATTCTCTATACCCAGTGTGGGGCTTGCACTCACGACCCTGAGATTAAAAGCTGCACGCTCTTCCGACTGAGCCAGCCAGGTGCCCCTTTAGTAAATTTTAAAAAACGGTTTTATTAAATGTTGATTTTAAGTGTGGTTGGAAAATTAAATAAAATGCTCATCCCATTAAAACCCCTCTGACACCTTGTAGGAAGCAAGTAAAAAACTGTCCAGCTTTCATTGTAACTGGCCCAGGCATTAACAAGAGAAACACTTGGCAGTATCTGGGTATGAAAATCAAAAGCAGAGAGTGAAAAAAATGTGTCTATAAGCAACTTCTATTCTCAGAATGAATCACTTAGTGAGATTAACAGTAGCCCCGTTCCTTCAAGAGGCTACGCAATGCCGCATTCCATGGAAAGAGTGAGAAGTTCTACCAGGCAGACAGACACCAAGACACGGGTCAGTTGGAGTGAGTTTATTAGAAGTTAGAAAGACACAAATACACAAATCACTGAACACTTAAAGATTAGTGGAGAAAAGCAAAATTGCCAAAATGTCACAGAGACTACACAGCAAACGCTACTGGAGCGAGATCCTAAGGGGAGAGCCCGGGGCGCAGCTGGCCCCGCCGGGTCTCGGAGGGGCAACGGGAGCAGCACATGCCCTACTCCTACAGCCTAGCTAGTTCAACGGTCACGGTCATGCCACGGCATTAACACCTGCGGGAGACTTCTAACTACCTTTGATCAAAGTGAACAACTAATCGCTCTTAATTCTTAAACTCATGTATCACACAGGAAATGGTTTTTATTAACACAGTTTATATTACTAAGTACATATCTGGCAAAGCTACATGTATACAGAGATAAGGAACCCCCCAAAAAGGACAGCAGCACCGAAAGGAATGGCCAGTCACAGAGAGGCGGAGCTCTGACAAGAATCCTAGGGGTCGCTAAGCACAGCAGTCAGCACTGGAGAGAGAAGTAAAGCTGGAGGAGGAGCCGCCCGTCATGCAGGACACAGTGTGAACGTCACATGAGGCAGCTAGGCCTGTCAGACAGAAACGGAGAGAGAGCCCAGTGAAACCGTTGTGAGAACAGAGCCAGCCCCCACTGACCGCAGCGTGGCTTACAGTATTTCTAGGTCACAAATCTCAGCAGCGCTTTTAATCGCTTTAGTATTTGGGATGACCTTCCGCCTGCTTCTATCAGCCCAGTACCAAGAGGTACTGGGCCGTATGCTATCTTTTACGTTATCAAGACTAATCACTCCTGATCATCAAAACAAAATTCCAGTTTCGAGCATGGATTAGCACTGTGCTGGAAATCTCCATGATACTTACTGTAATGAGGTTTTCCAGTAACTGTACATAAAGGAGATTCCACATTGAGAAACATCCGACAGTGACCAAAAGAAAGGCTACACACAGGAAGAGGCCATTCATTAAACCTTTAACTTCATCAGAAATCATTTTATATCCCTAAACTATAAAGTTCTCTCTGAAATCAGGGAGGACTTTCTCTTAAAAGCACTAACAGTTTAGACAGTTCAGAAACTTGAAGAAACCACTGACTTTAGAAGTCTTTAGCACATTTTAAACATGCAGTTGATAATCCAAAATAAGATTAATTCTAGAAAATGGATTTCCACAGGCAGCAGTGCACCCCGGGTCTCAGCAGACTGGAACCCCAGTGGTCTCGTATGAAGCCCCGGACAGCGGGGACCGAGCCCCCGCCCGCTCTGACTCACCATGGGACGCTCAGCAAGTCATTTAACCAGCCCGAGCTTCATTTTTCTCATCTTTAAAATGGAAAAATAAGATTTGTTACCAACTCCCCACGAATGTTGGGAGGACAAGAAAACATAAGTTCTTGTTGCTCTTTCAGAAAAAGGACATTAAACTGTCAATTCTGCAAACAGTACACCTCCTCCCGCAGTTCATTTCAGAGTTCACTGCTACACTACAGCAGTGTTACTTAGAACATTCCTGTCTGGCCACTCAGCAGGCTATGGGAGAGTGACCAGATCCCAGACATACTTCACGCGAAAAACACACACACACACACACTCACTCACTCACTCTCCCCCTGCCCAATCCCTCACCCCTGCAGCAGCAGGTGCACAGGAGCTGGGCTCCGGACGCAGCACCTGGCTAGGGAAGAGGTGATGGAGCGGGCTGCCCACCCTCTCCTTGCACTCGCCCTCCAGAACCAGCGGGAACAACAGCAGAAACCCACCCCAAGCCCCCGTGGATTTCTATTCAGTAAGAGCTGGAGGGCTGGGAGGTCTCCTGCATTGTAACTCTTTCAAAAACAGTCTACTTCTTTATATTGCCATGAAAGAATACTTACATCAAAAAAGTGGGTTTCTGAACAGAAATGAATAGTGTAGTGTATTGGCTAAGAAATGCATGGCAATAATTATGACCTATAGAGTTCAGGTGATTTGTTCTTTATTTTTTCTTTGTTATATTCTAGTTGTCTTCCTAATGTAATTTTTAAAACTAAAACTTTATTTCTAATTAACAGCATATACTAACCCATTCCTCAGTCATCTTGGGCAAGAGATCAGTGTCTTTGGAAAACAAGCCCTAACACGGGGTGCGGGTGGGGCAGGCTCCTTCTGAAGGGCCCCGCAGGGAACTGGCAAGTCAGAAACAAAAAGGTCAGAGTGGAGAAGACGGACAGAATGGAGGGCGTGATGTTTCCTGGGGCCCTAGTGGGACAGCTGCAAGTATGATCACTTCATAACCGCGCAGCGCAGGGCTCCCACGTGTGCGAGGGGCCCAGGCTCCAGGGATGGTCCCAGCAGCCCTCGGAGGGGATGGCAGCCATGTGCACAGAGGGTAAAGGGAATCCAAGCTAGCCAGAAAGGACTCCTTTGCACACAGCATTTGCGCTTTTAGGGGGACCAGAAAAGAGAACTCTGATTTATCTTGACAATGACTTTCAGCTCTGTGTACTATTTATACAAAAATAAGTTTGAGGAAGTTACATTTTAAAGTCCTTTAATCACCATCTTAATAGTATATATTTTAATAGAACAGAATTGCACTTCCCTAAGAACTTGATCCAGAAATCTCATATGAATGATTACAGTATATTCAGTAACCCTACTTTTCTTGTATTTTAACAGCATGGAAATCTGTGCTGACCTAGACTTCCCCCATCTGCAGGGTGCGACTGGAACCTGGACTGCCTGACCTCTGCCCACATGTTATTCTGAATGCTGGGACCAATCACACCCGCTCGGTCTCACATACACGGCTGTGGCAATGGAACGGGACTGCCGTCCTCCCCACTGAAAGAGCACCTGCCCCACACAGCAACACGATGCTTTTCCCTACAGTAGCAGTTTTTAAACTTTTTAAAGAGCACTGAAACCCTTTTTAAAAAACTTAAAATCTAATGCAGAACCCCAATATAAGTAAATCTAGGTGGCATTTTCTCATTATAAATGTGTAACAAGTTCTTAGAAGAACATAAACCAGTAAGAACAGTGAAGCCACCTTTACAGAACCCACAACTTGAAATATGAAATTACAGATGACAAGTCTAGCCCCTGACACCTGAACTCCCAATCCGTTTCCAATTGATCTGGACTGCCCAGCACCAGAACCTCGCTGCACACAGGTAAATGGCTGTGGGCGGCAGCCGTTCTCAACCATGTGCCTTGTCATTGCAGGAGCTCCTCACTGCCACTCTGAGGGCCTGAGACATTTAGTCTCACACCTGGACAAAGACCAACGCGGGGGCTGTAGTGGACTCAGATTTAGTTGCACGTGCCTACACCTCAATCAGGCTGACTCAAACCCCGGTGTGCATGTACATGCCTATGCTGCCTCTTCAACAATCACCGCGCGCTTTGAAAATGAAAATTCCAACCAAATGTCGGGAGAGCTCAGCACCACCTTCTCAGAACCTGCGAGCCAGGCCTCCTGCGTAGGCAGGGGTGGGCTGAGCCTGAGCAGGGGCCTCAGGGGCCTGGCGGTGAGCACACCAGCCCGGGCGGCTATCCCCTGGGTAACCTGGGCAGTTCCAGAGTCACGGGCTGCTTGATCTCAGACTCTCTGTGAAGAAAGGGCCCCTTCGGCTGCTCAAAGCGAGTTTGGAACCACTGTACAGGATGACCTAAGATCTGGGATCTAGATTCTTTCATCCAGTGGACCACTGCCAATCGATGAGCCCTGCGATGGAGTCTGTCAGAGACGCAAAGCCTCTAGTGTCCAAGAGTCAAGTAAAAAGGTGTCCAAAGCCCCGTGTGTGAGTGTCCTAAGTGAGAGCATGTCCAAAGCGAGAGAGGAAATGTGAAAGGAAGGAGGGCCAAGCGTGCACTCGGGAGGGGCCGCTTCTGTGATTCCAGCAGCAGGCCTGACAGGAAGCCGCCTACCAGCCCTCCACGGACTGGATGGGAAGCAGCTCTCTCTCACCCCTGAGTCTCAGTCTTGAAGATGGTAACAGAACTCTGCATTGCCAATAATTTTATTATAGGATTGCACAGGAAGATTGACCTAGAAATACTGTCTCAAGAAAAAGTTCCTCCAGAACTTCATTCAAGAGTGTCAAAATCTGCACCCTGGCTTCTACAGACTAGAGAAGGGACATGACCCTCTCCACAAGGCATGCAGGACAACAGGAATCATGGGGAGAGTACAGTACACAGTGTGGCCAGATGCGGGCGAGAGGAGGGCCTAGCCATCATCATTTATGTGTTAGACTACTGCCCAATGGGAGAATGGTCAAAGCAGATGCTGATTGGTTGTCTTGGCACAGGAAACACCAAAGCAAGGCAGTTGCCAGATAAAGACAGTCAAAAAGACGCTCTCTCCCTGAAATTTTGGCCACTACCATTTTTGTAGAAAATGTCTCATCCTTACCAAACCACTCCAGCTATTAGAAAATCCCAAAAATAAATACATTCAAAAAGACAGAGCATAGGAAAACCCAAAATTACTATTTGGCAAAACATATGCACAATTACCTAATCAAACTGCACCTACTGCGACTTCAAAAAAAAAAAAAAAATTGATCGTGCACCTAATCCTGCATTCAACTCTCCCTGATAAAAGCAAAATTCCAAAGACACCAGCTCAACGTACAAAAGTATTACCCATGTGTGACCAACGTTCACTAGAAAAAAATGTCCAGGAGGCCACATGCTCTTTGGCAACCACTGGATAAACAGCAGTGGTGAAAATCTCCATCAAGTCAAACCAGTGAAACCCAGAGGTAGAGCCAGGAGCGACATGTTCCAAACACGGGCACGTGTTCTGGATCCGAAAACCTCTGGCAGAGGACTGTGAAGAGAGATGAGCTGTGGGACCCTCAGTGGGAACAGGACATTCAGCACCGCGGTGGGCCATGCAGAGCAGCTGCCCCAGCCTGTTCTTCTCTAGAGACAAGCTGTGTTCGAAACATCATTTCCCTTTAAGGAATTTAAATCTCACAAAATCTACAGCAGCCTGGTCAGTGAAATTAGGAGCACTGGAGTTAGCAATGAAAATGGGTAAGTTAAAAAAGCGAGTTAGTTTTCTGCCACACTAATCCTAACATTAAAATAAAACCAGGTTATGGATTATGGCTCTAAATAACCAGGACACTCAATCAGCATTTAAGTGCTCAAAGTTAAGCCAAACAGCTTTCATGGGTCCCTAAAGAAAAGAAAATGACCACTTTGAACAAACAGACTTCATTATTAGCAGAAGATAAGCACTTACAAAAAGCTTAATTCATACTCAATTTGAAAAAAGGACAGTGTCTAGCATGTAAGCCCGGAGGAAACTGCGGGACAGCACTCCTGCTGGGAGCGTGGCCCAGGCGGCCTCCCGGCGACAGACAAGCGCCTGCCTGCGCACGCTGGCGGCTGTGTACTGTACTTACCCCGTTCCACTCTACGCTCATACTCACTTCCTCCCCTCCGTCAGGGCCGCTCTCGTACTTGACCACGTCCACGTTCAGGCTCTCCCGGCTCCTGCGCTTCTCCATGTTCTCAGGGTCATTCAGCACTTCAGCTACTCTCTGTTTGTGAACATTGTCAAGACCCTGGGAGCCAGGCAAGGGGGAAAGGGTTGGAGCCATTAGAACTGAACCTTGATGAAGGGCTTCTAAGACAGCTAAGCTTCACCCGGGGGAAGAAAAACACGAAAACAGTCCTTAGACACAGAAGAGTGCTTCTCAGGAATATAGACTTAAGACTTACACATTTCACCCTCTGTAAAGTTTACGTCAAATTTAAAAAAGAAAACAAATATTGGGCCCCCGTGAGTGATTTGCACACTTAAAGTATTTACAAGGAAACGTACGGATGTATACAAATTTGAAATGCTCTGCCCAGAAGAGGCCTGGTGGACAGAGCGATGGAGGTGATGTGCCCGAGAGCAATGACCATTCATGACGGGATCTGGGAGGCAGACACACAAGCGTACAATTCTCTCCACTTCTCTGCTTGCCAAGTCTCACGGAAGGATGCTGGGAAAACGTCCCAACGCGCCCCCCCCGCCCACGTCAGGGAGCGAGGAGAGCTCCAAGCTCTCACCTCATTTCGGCACGGAGGGCCCGCGCACGCTCGAGCTAAAACATCGCTGAGCTACAACATGGCAGAGACTGCTCTCCATGTGCGTTTCAGTTCGAATGACCCAGACGCAACACGTTCCATATTCTAACTGGGATTTTAAGCCCAGCAGCCGGGGCAAGTACGGCACTGGTACCGACTTCCATAGTGTCCTCCTCGAAAGGCACACCCCTCCAGCACACGGTATACCACTGTGACTTGACGGTAAGGCCGACTGTGGGCCCTCACCCGGCAGGAGGACACCGTTCCCGGCAGAGCACAGACCTTCCTTTACATTTCTACAACTCCTGGGGCGCCTGGGGGGCTCAGATGGTTAAGCGTCTGCCTTCGGCTCGGGTCATGACCCCAGGGTCCTGGGATCGAGTCCCGTGTCGGGCTCCCTGCTCCTTGGGAAGCCTGCTTCTCCCTCTCCCACTCCCCCTGCTTGTGTTCCCTCTCTCGCTGTGTCTCTGTCAAACAAATAAATAAAATCTTTAAAACAAACAAACATAAATTTCTACAACTCCTGATCCCCCAGATTCGGCTCGTTTGATACACACCATCCCAGCACTTGAAAACGAAGCCCGAACTGTGGGCACGACTCCTGTAGATGAGTGGCCACCGCACTCCAGAACCAGGTGGGCACCAAGACCGCCTAAGCCACCCTCCACCCCGGGGCGGCGCACGCACAGCCAGACCCCCGGCAGGGCTGCCGACGCCCCAGGGCGCTCTCCCCGACGCAGCCCTCCAGAGTCAGACGACCCCCGAAGGATGACGGGACCGAAGACAGGCTCTGCAGGGGCTACCCCACCTCCACCGGGTCTGCTCTCATCATTCCGCATGGACTCTTTCGAAAGAGAAGAATCCTCAGGCATATGTGGGTAATTTTAATCCCAAACAGTGATCAGCACCGACATCTATACCACTGAGGAAGGGAAAAACTCACACCTGCCTCTCCAATCCTCAAAATAGAAACCGAAACCACACCTGTCCTCTTCATAGTTTTACCTGTTTATGCACAGGGACACACACACACGCAGAGCAATACATTTACTCATTACTCTGAAACCTCCTCCTTACAGGGCAACAAGTAGGCCTTTTCCGCGTTTCCTCACAAACAGCATCTCAGCCTAACTACAACCTCTCAGCGGAGGGAGGAAAGCGCTTCGGCAGCTGTACGTTTACCTTCCGAAGCAGCCACGGGGTCCGCACCATCCAACTACACCCCCACCGGCGGCACCCGGGAGTTCCCAGTGCGCCGTCCGTCCCTCACACCTGCGACTTTGTCTGCTTTTTGATTCGCGCCATCCTCTTGGGTGTGAAGTGGTATCTTGCTGCAGTCTGATTTGCATTTCCCTAATGACGAAGGACGCTGGTATCTTTTCATGTGCTTGTGGGCATTCGTGTGCCATCTTCAGAGAAATGTCTATTTAGCTCCTTTGCTCATTTTTAAACTAGGAGATCCTTCTGTCTTTATATATTCTGGATACTAGGTCCTCATCAGATGTGATTTGCAAATACTCCCACCCATTTCTGTGGGTGTCTTCACTTTCTTGATAGTGTCCTAAACGCACAAACATTTCTTTTTTTTTTTTTAAGAAGATTTCATTTTATCTATTTGACAAAGAGAGAGATAGAGCAGGAACACAAGCAGGGGGAGCGGGAGAGGGAGAAGCAGGCCTCCCGCCGAGCAGGGAGCCCGATGCAGGACCCGATCCCAGGACCCCGGGATCATGACCTGAGCCGAAGGCAGACGCTTAACGACTCAGCCACCCAGGCGCCCCTGTTTATTTATTTTTAAGATTTATTTATTTATTTGAGAGACACAACGAGAGAAGGAACACAAGCAGGTGGAGTGGGAGAGGGAGAGGCAGGCTCCCCACAGAGCAGGGAGCCCGACGTGGGGCTCGATCCCAGGACCCTGGGATCATGACCTGAGCCAAAGGCAGACGCTTAACGACTGAGCCACCCAGGCGCCCCGCACAAACATTTCTAATTTTGGTGAATCTAATTGATCGAGTTTTTCTTTTGCTGCTTATGCTTTCGGCGTCATAGTTACGGTCTCTTAAAACAATATAATTTTCTTTGCGCAAACTAAAATATTAAATATTTCCTACTTCTAAGTCAAGCTCTCGACAAGTTACATAAAAGAGTCATTACACTCAAAGGCCTAACAGGTGAGTTAAAAACAGAAGGCAGGTCACTGACCTGTTTGCGGGACCTCATGGCTGCTTCTTCCAATGTTTCTGCAGCTTCAAATTTGCCCTGACGTCTGTAAAGTGCCCCAAGGTTTTTCAAAGTGGTTGTAACAGTCGGACTGTAAGAAAGCACAGGATACACAGAACTATTAAATTCAAGTTTCAGAACTACTATCAATAGCACAAAATCTAAAGCACTAACAGACATAAGTATGTGAGAAGTATTTTTGAAATTTCTACAGTACTTTAATCGTAAAGTTCTAGTAAGTTCTTCTTCCGTAACAGACAGACCCTGTGCTTCACCTATACTTCAGTGAGCTGTGTGTAGGCACGTTACCTCATCTACAAAGTTACGGGAGTGTGCACACGCACCACCTGGAGGAACTTCCACGTTCAGTCATTTACAAGCTGCCCTTAAAGCACTAGCACCTTCCAGGGCAGTTCTGTTTCTTCAGTTAAAAGGACATACCTATCGGGGCACCTGGGTGGCTCAGTCAGTTGAGCATCCAACTCTTTGATTTCAGCTCAGGTCATGATCTCAGGATTGTGAGATCGAGCACCGTGTCAGGCTCTGCGCTCAGCGTGGAGTCCACTTGTCCCTCTCCCTCCTTGTCTGCCCCTCCCCCTGCTCACTCACTCGCTCTTGCTCTATCTAAAATAAAAAAAAAATCTTAAAGAAAAAAAGACATACCTATCAACTTTGCAGGCTTTGTACCAGCCGCCATACTCTCCAAAAGATGTCCCGTCCTTTTGCTTTCCCTAAAATATAACAAGTGAATAATTATCTTTAAAGCAATATATCCAATTTAGACAATCTCCCAAAACAGTGTATTCTTACTTTGCATTCTTCTCTTTCTTCAGCATGCATCCAAATGGGTTTATTTTCATCTAGGGGAGAAAAAATAACATACTATAAAATTGAAGCATGATAGGGCCCACTGAGTAGAGGCTGTCAAGTTTCAATGATTGCAAGGTTTTTTTGTTTCTCATGTGATCCTTCTCAGGTGTTACTTCTTACAACTTGGACAGAGGAAGTTCACGGTGGAGCCTATGAGGGCGGAAGAAACAAGCAGATGGCCGTTCACATGCAGCGCTGTCAACAGAAGACACACAATCCAACGTACCTACACAGGGCAGGCAGCCGTCAAAGATGCTGACAAACGCTTGGGCCCCTACGATGAGACTTCTAATGCTAGAATGCTCACAGAACGCTGGGCAGTATTTAGAATTTGAGAAAGGCAGCATTAAACAAAAGTCTAAAAAAAGGGTAAGATGCTGGGAGCAAAGTGGAAAAAGATACTAATCAATATTCTCTTAAAGTCTTAACTTTTGAGAACCTTAACCATACCACTCCATCTAAAGTTTCTAAACAACCAGTGTGCCCACACCATGGAGAACAAGCAATCTCAAAAGTGAAATTTCTGAAAAATTTTTATGCTATGAAAAATACTTGAGGTGGGGCGCCTGGGTGGCTCAGTCGTTGGGCATCTGCCTTCGGCTCAGGTCGTGATCCCGGGGTCCTGGGATCGAGCCCCGCATCAGGCTCCCTGCTCTGCGGGAAGCCTGCTTCTCCCTCTCCCACTCCCCCTGCTTGTGGTGTTCCTTCTCTCGCCATGTTTCTGTCAAATAAATAAAATCTTTAAAAAAAAAAAAAAGAAAGAAAGAAAAATACCAGAGGTACAAGTAGGGAAAATAAGTATACATGACTGTATGTAAAATATGGTTTTAAATATGTAAATCAATCAGCACAGAAAGACACAAATGTTAAAAAAATGTATCTAGGTGCTGAAATCATTGGTGATTTTCACGTGCTATCTCTGCATGAATTTTCAAGGATTCTCGCAATGAGGACCTATTTCAGTTTCCAGGGGAAGAAACCTGTGCTCACACCCAGTCCAGCCACTCACTAACAACCAAACCTTGGACCAGTCACTTCATCTACAGTGTCCTCACTCCTAAAACGGGTAAAGGTTTGACCCACTTCACCGGACTGTTCAGAAAATTAAACGTGATCACACACTGAGACCGCCCCTCGGAAAGACTAGTACATAGCTAGTCGAATGATTATCACTTGCCGTGTCACAGAAGAAAATGAAAACCCATTTCGAATATTGGTTCTAGGAGAGTGAACGGTATATAAAGCTTACTAACAGTCCTGTGAGTGCAGTCAGAGCTTTACTGAAATAATTCTATTGCTAGAACAGCCAAGTGCACAGCAAGCTAACAGGGCAGGGTTCCCAGACAACCCAGCAGGGGACGCGCTGAGAGCAGCAGAGGCCCCTGGGAGACTGAAGGTCACACGCTGACAGCAACAGGACACTTCTGCATCTTGCTGAAAGAAAAAACGGCTTCTGTCCTATGTTTAAACATTTGTATGGAGGGCAAACCCAAACGCAGGAAAACTGCTTTTAACTAGAACTCAACTGGACTTCATGCTACTACTTTTATCAAAAAGCAGCTAGCAAATCATAAGGGAATAAGTATTCCCCAAGAACAGACTTTTTTAAAAGCAGCATTAAGGAAATGCCCTGGAATCACTACAAAATCCGCATGGCCTCTGCAGTTAGGTGAGGATATTTGCCCCAGCCCACAACAACTGCAAACAGAATCCATGCTCACAATGGTGAGCCTGGGGCATTACTGTGTTCTGAGAATAAAAAGAGATTTACTGTTCCACTTATTAACAGAGGGAAAAAAACCTAACACGCTTCAAAGATTTTTCACAAGTGGTTTCTAGAAACTCTATAAATGAAAACATTCAGCAAAACCTCTTTCCCTACGCATCCTGAGGTTTCCTGCACAGCAGTAACAACTGTCCTCATTCCGAAAGCCTTATGTAACACCTGATGCAGGGGGAAAATGCCTTATGTAATACACACGCATTGTTTTACTGAGCACTTTAAATCCTATATTTATTCCAAAACTGTATATTAAGTACCTAAGGAATATGGAGACAGGCCTTGGCTCTTTTAGACAAATAACCCAGCAGGCCTGGGATGGGGTCAACCATTTGCATTTCTGACAGGTCACACATGGTGCGGATACTTCTGGTCCCTGCCGGCAATTTGAGAACCAGGATAACAGAATAATTCCAGGAAGTGCTGATGCCTCCAGAGAGGCTTTCTGGAGTTGGTGCTCTGAGTTCTGCACAAAGCAAGCCTGGACTCTGGAGAGGGCAACTCAGAGAGATGTGGGGCAGGTGGCCCATCACCCCTGACCACAAGGCACGCGACCCCACTGAGTAACTGGTGACCAGGGCAAGGATGCAGGTGTTCACCGTGTTGGATGGTGAATGAATGAATGAGCCTATGACCACTCAGACTGTGCCACATCCTCTCCTCTCAGCGCTATCTGCAAAATCATTTCTAAAATTCAAACTGAATTCTACCTTAAAAATATGATGATGACTTGGGTATTACCAAGTTCCAGCTGGAAATCACCATTTTTAATGCATCCTAACAACCGTGTCTGCTTAGAAGCGGTAGTATAGTCCTTACCATCTACAGAACCAAACTCCCTTTCGTGTGCACGAGTGAGAATCTCTTTGTACAGTGTTTCTGCTTGCTTGAATTTTCCTTGCTTCAGATAGCAGGATGCCTTAAAATAAAATAAAGTACTTAGTAATTTCATATGTAAATGAAACACACATTCTTATCTACAGGTTAAATGACAAAACAAAGCTCAGAGTTCAAAAAAGGAAGCAGTTCTGGCTCTACCCATAGACTGCACCTCTGTCCACATACCAGGTTATTTTTCGTTTTGGCCACATTGGGATCATCGGGCCCCAGTTTTGTTTGGTAGATCTCGAGGGCTCTTTGATAATAATATTCTACTTCCTCGTACTTGCCCTGATTCTGGCACAGTAAGGCCAAGTTATTTAACTGCTTGGCAACGTCGGGGTGATCCTTTCCCAAAACCTGAGAACAAAAAAGTGTGTATCAGAAATGCCGATCTGTTTCAGTGCCATCCAGTCCGTTCTCCACCCACTATGAGAAGGGTCCTTCTCAACACAAACATGGCTGTGCCCAACGCCCAGGCTCACAGTCCCGTGCTCTGCACTAAGAAAAACAGCCAGAACTCATACTCTTGGCAGGTAGGAGGAGACTGTACTGATCTCCCTACACACTCTCAACTTTTCATCCTTACAGTAACCCCACACGGGGACTGGCACAGGGGGCATTAGTATGCACAGCCTGAAACCAGGAAATGGTTGTATAAAGGTTATGTCAGTATGACCCCCAAGTTCTGGAAGAGCCCTTTCTGACTTGAGCTATTACACAAGACTCTTCCCTATGGGTGCAAGCATTCAAAGGGAATCTCCAGCTCTTGCATTCAGCCTACACATACCTTCCCACTAAGACCCAGAGGTCCTCTGCACTCAAAATCTGGCCATTGTAATTCATAAATATCATGCAGACGGTGGCATGAGAAAAGTTTTCCTGCATAATTTGATGATGAGCCCCTTTTATTTCCCCTTTCCCAATTCCTTGCCATATGGCCAAAAATTAAATGTCTCGCAGTATTACTGGTAAATAATCACAGAAAATACCAATTAAAAATACCACCCCTGGTCATTCATGGCCTGGACTTAAACACCGGAGCCTCCCGCCTGCTGAGATTAACAAGCCACATTTTCCCCAACACCTAATTAGCAGAGGCTGCAGTGGCTGGCATGAATACCCATGACACCGGGGCGCCTGGGTGGCTCAGTCATTAAGCGTCTGCCTTCGGCTCAGGTCATGATCCCGGGGTCCTGGGATCGAGCCCCGCATCGGGCTCCCTGCTCCGCGGGAAGCCTGTTTCTCCTTCTCCACGTCCAGTCCTCAGGAGCTCCTCCTCCTGCAGTCATTTCTAGGCCACATCAGGCCGGGAGGGCACGAAGACTGAACCCACTCCTTTTTTTTTTTTTTTAAGATTTATTTATTTTTGAGAAAGAGAGAGAGAGAGAGAGCAGCGTGTGCGCGTGGGCAGGAGGGGCAGAGAATCTCAAGCAGACTCCGCACTGTGCGCAGAGCTCGATGCAGGGCTCCATCTCACGACCCTGAGATCACGACCTGAGCCAAAACCAAGACTCGGACGCTTGTGACTGAGCCACCCAGGTGCCCCTGAACACCCACTCACTCCTCTTAAACACCGGTCTGAATGGGCTCATCTGCCCGTGTTTTGTGGGCTGTCCACCTCATCCTTCATCAAATGAGTTATTTTCAGTAAATGGCCAGTCATAATATACCACAGTGGTCATTCCTCAAAACTTAAAACACTGCATCTCAAGACAATGAGCACCCTTCCTTTGCCCTCACCTTTTCTCTGATCTCCAGAGCTCTTTTACACAGCGGTTCGGCCTCTTTGTACTTCCCTCTTTTGCCATAAAGAACTGCGAGGTTATTCAGAGTTGCTGCCACCTGCCAACACAGAGGGAAGAGCAGAGAATGGTAAACAACAGCAACAGACAGGACTTCAGATATCACATGCTCATCAATACCCAGGTTGCACAGTGAAGGGCTCTCCACTAAGTGAAGGAACAGGACTTCAGTTAAAAGCAAAAGAGCAATTCACTATATACTACAGATTATACAAAGTAAATTGGAGAATACTAAAATTAAACAATCAACAATAACACCGTGATCTTGATTTTTTAATTTCACTGGAAGCCACAAAGCCAACCCAAACACAGATCTGTTTGCAAATCTGGCCAGATTTTAAGAAAAAGACAATATAAATTCTTTAGAGAAAAATTTACAGAAGTACATGCAATCTGATTTAGGATAAAAAAAATACAGTACGTGATCCACGGCGACGATGAACAAGTTAACTGTGCGTGCTGACACAGGCTGAACATCAGAGCCACCAGCCCCGAAGCTCAGCACTGGTTCTGAGTAAGTGAAGAGTCCTACCTGCGCCATCTAGTGAAAAGGCAGCTCTTAAACCTTCCCTGTTGAGTTTAATATTAAAATGAGTTGGATAAAAAAATATATTAGGGAAAATGAAATATAAAAAGAAGGAAAGAACCAGATATACACACCGCGGGATGATCTTTGCCCAAAGTTTTCTCACGGATGGCCAAGGCATCATTCAGTAGATTAGCGGCATCTTTGTATTTATTCTGGTCTCTAAATTGAAAAACATACATTAAGTGTTTTGGATATAACTTACTACGTCTTTTTAAAATGTAATTTTGAAACTACAGAAATAAGAGTTAAGTTTGGGCTATTTAAAAAATAAAAGTCCACTATTAAAACGATTAAAAACACCTCTAGCGAAGAAGAAAAAGACTCTACCAATAACGTGAGCTTGGAATCAGGCCCGATTAGCTTTGGAACCTGGCCCTCCCCTCCAGGTCATGGGGACGACACTGCCCCTACACCACACAGAGTACGGGAGCTGGTCCAGAAGGTCGGCCAGAGCTTCACCTGCTATCAGACAAAACGGACCCCAGGGTCTGAGCCCAGGCTCTGCCAGTTAATGGCTACAAGGCTTTGGGATATTAAGCAGCCTCCCCACAGTCCCCCACGACCCATCTAGGAAGTGTATTACCTAACTCACAGAGTTGCTCCAAGAAGCTAACGATACACTACCTGTATAATGAAAAAGCTTGTTAAAAATAAATACATTATAATGTCTTAATCTGGTACACAATTTGCCACCGTTTGCTTGAGTGAGGAGGAAGGAGGAGGCTTTTGACTGCAGTAAGACAGAAAGCCCAGCCTCAGCCGCTGCCCTCCTTGGTTTGTGTACCGACAGTGTGATCACAGCAGAGTTATTTGCTGTGTGAGACTGAGCACACACGTTCCTTAACTGTGTAATAACAGCTGCCCAGCAAGGCTTTGCCCTGCAGAAGCCAGACTGCCCTACAAAACATGGAAAGGGTTAATGGCCCTCTGTACCCTCGGAAGCACACTAATTCTGTCCAAATGTACTGAGATTATTTTCTTCAATTACCCTACTACACATGATAAACTGGCTCAAATGTTTTGTGAAAAGCAGCAAGTATGACAGAAAGTCTCAAGAACTACTATAGTAGAGACAGTTACAACCAGTAACAACAAGAACTACCTAAAAGCGTGTGGCAGCTAAATGAGGCAAGGTGTACTGAGCACTCTTCTAAACTGTGACGGGCCCTAAAATGTCAGGGGCTTTTAATTCATTAGCCAAAGTGAGGTCACACCAAGAGCAACAGCACTGGTTCTCAGGCATGGCCCCAAACCGATGACCGTCACCGTCGGCCGGAACACATTAAAACCAGCCCCGCCCCAGCAACTCTGGCTCTGGGGCCCGCACTCACTTGACTAGCCCACCAGGAAATTCAAACTCAAAATGAAAATAAAAGTATACTACTGCACGCATAAAAATTCTAATAGAAAAATGGGCAAGATGATGGAAGATTCACAGGACACAAATGACAAAAAATACCCAATCAGAGAAATACGAAGGCAACCACAATGCTGTGCTTCTGCATTACTGAAGTGTAGGGTCAAGCCACACTGCACTGGTGGGGACGGTGAGGCTGAAGCAGGGACAGGATGCCACCTTCCTAGGAGCAGTTTGGCAACAGGTCCCAGGCGTAGACTGTGTAGACTCTAACCCATTTTAGGAACTGATCCTTAAAAAAATCCAAAATCTCAGGAAAAACTTCCAAAAATGTTTATCAGTATATTATGCCCTTCCCCCAAAAGCTTAAAATTAAATGTCCCCTAACACAAGAAAGGTGAGAGGAGTCATAGGCCAGGGTGCAGTCCTGAATATGAATGCGAATATACAGGGAGCTATCCATTTGTTTTTTGACTTTTGACTGACACAGTAACCCCTCAGCCAGAGCATTAAGGGAAAACACCAGACTGCAGCGAAGCCCCGGAATTCCCACTGCCTGACACAGTGGTAAGCGTGGGACCATGGAACAACAACCACCCTACATGCATTTTTTATTTAACTCATTTATAATAATAATATCTAGTGTTGGCCAGAAATTTTCATGTTAGTGCAAACTGTTTCAAGTTTCATTTATTTTAATGATCTCTACGCCCAATGGGGGGCTTGAACTCACGACCCTGAGATCAGGAGTCGGATGCTCTACCGACTGAGCCAACCAGATGCCCCAGTGCATACAAATTAAAAAACCTTTTGGAATGAAACTGGCATCATCCGTCAAGATTTTAAATGTAAATACCCATGACTAAGGAATCCCTACACTATCGTAACAGTAAAAATCAAATAACCTAAATGTCCATCGACAGGGAAACTGTCAAAAAAGGTGAGGACTAGCCGTGAGACAGTGCGCTACGCCGCCCCTGAAGACGGCAGGCTAACTGCGGGACGAGCACGGGCAGGGCTGCGGGCATGGCGTGAAAGGCCGCCTCCTTTCTGGTGGTGTTTTGTTTCGTGAAGAAATCACTCGTCCCTACGAATGGCTGGATCAGTTGGGTTTCTTTTCCCTGAGCCGCTCCCTGTCCTCTCCCTCTGCACTGTCCCCCTCCTTGCTCAGACCCCATCTCCGTATCCCTAGGATCCTGCCCTGCCTCCAGGCCCCGGCCGCCATTCTGTCCTGCGCACAATGCCAAAGGGACTCTGGTGAGACCCAAGTAGGAGCCAGCTGCCCCCCACACCAGCACCTCTCAGCACTGCCCACAGGGCCTCCACGGTCAGTCCCAGCTTCTCCCTGCCCCATCTCTTGCAACTGTTCTTCAGGTGCTGTCAGGCTTTGCCAACTAGGTTCAGGAGTTAAGCCCCAAACACACACAACACCCGTTACCATCTCCACGTGCTAAAATCCTACCCATCCTTCGAGGCCCCCTAGAGTGCTGCTCCCACCCTTCCATTAATCCTTCCCTCATCCTCTCAACTGGAAGTAATCTTTCTGTTCCATGAAAACTTTTGTGTTATTTTATTAGCAGAACCCAGTCTCTCTCCTTCTATAACAACATATGAATGTAAACATCCTATCTTCTAAACAAGGTCGTAAGTTCCAATTTAGAGAATGCTATTTGAGCATTTCATGTCTGCCGGGAGACACCACATGTCACATGCCCTATAATCCTCCCTTGGACCTCGGAGTGGATAGTATAACCGTCTCCATTTTAGATTTAAGAAAACTGAGGCTCAGAAAAGCCAAGGGCTCTGGACAACATCCTCTGTCTTGTGGCCGTCTAGCAGAGACACAACCTGAATTCTCCTGACTTTAAATTCAACGTTCGGCTTTCTCCCAAGGACAGGAACCATATGTTCCTTCATCTCTAGGGCCTCACGGGAACCAGCCCAGTCTGACCTACACTTGTGTGTCCAAAAATGTTGAACGGGGACAACCAAACCAATGAGGAAACACGCATCTGGTAATCCCAACCCACAGCAAACCAATCCTGCTGTGAGTAACTTCTCCCTTCTCGGTCCCTACTCACCCACATCTGCTCTAATTCAGGTGAGTTCAGTTCAAAGACACACACAAAGGGCTCCAACACATCACTCTCTGTGCCTCAGGGCAAATTCCTTAATCCCCTTCAACGTGTTCACCCAGGGTCCCTAAATGAGGAAGCATGCTAGAGTGATGTGAGAAGTGGGGACACGGACGCAAGCTGGTCCCCAACTTTCAGGGACACTGTTCTGAGAGAAGACAGAACAAAATTCAAATAACCCCGACGCCAAGTGCAGGGAGAAGCGCCAGAAGAGAAGCAGGGATTAAGGGCTCTGGGGGCACAACAGACGCAAAGGGCAAGTGGAACCTGAGACTCAGGAAGGAGAGAGAGCTGGGCGCCTGGGTGGCTCAGATCATGATCCCAGGGTCCTGGGATCGAGTCCCGCATCGGGCTCCCTGCTCCGCGGGGAGCCTGCTTCTCCCTCTCCCTCTGCCTCTGCCTCTCTCTCTATCTCTCATGAATAAATAAATTAAAAAAAAAAAAAAAGAAGAAAGGAGAGAGAGCTAACAAGGCTCTAGAAGGGTGGGAAGGCTATTCTGGACAAAAGAAACCTGGTACACAGAGTCTGGTGGAAAAAGTTAAGAATTTAGTTTGACCCGAGTGACGGGTGCGTTTGGGCTATTCTAAAGGATGCCCTGGGTGGTTTCGGGCAGCATCCGTTCCACAGGGTGAGATACTCTGCCACAGAGCTTGCTAAATATTTTGAATTTAACCCCTGGCTGTGTGAAGAGACGTGGCCGATGAAGCTGGCGAAGTGGGCTCACACAGGTTTATGGAAACATACTGGGGGCAAGTTCCTCAGAAGGAGCGAAACCAGGGGACATCAGGGGACATCCTGGGGGCAAGTTCCTCAGAAGGAGCGAAACCAGGGGACATCAGGGGACATCCTGGGGGCAAGTTCCTCAGAAGGAGCGAAACCAGGGAACATCAGGGGACATCCTGGGGGCAAGTTCCTCAGAAGGAGAGTCGGCAGGCGAAACCAGGGGCAGAGGGAAAGTACTAGCCTGTACACCAGAGCCAGGATGTTCAGCATGGTGGCCACGTCTGGGTGGTCGTGGCCGGAAGTCTTCTCCAGGTCCTCCAGGGCCTGCTTGCAGAGCGGCACGGCCACCTCGTAGCGGCCCTGAGAGGCGTACTGGATGACCAGGTTGTGGAGGGTGCGCAGCCGCGCCGGGATCTCGTAGCCGCCCTGCTGCGCGGCCGCCGCCGCACTGCTGTGTTGCTGCTGGACTGCAAGACAGGGTTTCAGGTCGCACGAGCGCCACGGGCAGGGTCCGGACGACAGCGCCCCTTAGGCCCTTCCCCTCCAGCTCTGGCCCCGGGGGCACGAGGCCCCCACGCTGCGGAAGCCCACCCAGCGCCCCCCAGGCAGGCTGGGTGACGTCAGCACCGTGTCGGGGGTGGTGTGACGCCCCCAACATGCAGTGAGACGCCTCTCAGCACCAACGAACTCTGCCGGCCTCACCCTGTGAGACCCACAGGCCGCACGGAGCTGCTTGTTCATGCCCCAAGATCTCGTACGGGCCGGGCTTGCTGCCATGGCCCAACAAGAAACACCTGAACTTCTCTTGGGAAACATCAGGCAACCCGAGTGTACAAGTGCCTCTGGGAAGCAGGCTACAGGCTCTTAGACACCCACTAATTATGGCACTTCCATCGGGACGGGACAAACCACCTTCTGTTTGTATATGCTGCCACTCAACCGCTCCCCCGCGCCAACTTACTTCCTTGACCGGGATCATCATCGTCATTCGGGAAAAGGTCATCCAGAGGCTCTTTGGTGGAATCGGTGTCTTTGTCCTCCTATAAAACCAACCCAGGATAACTTCAGCCTTACAAGTACTATAAATCCTGTACTGGAAATCTTTAGTATAAACATCATTTTAACAAAAAAATCTGAGAAAAAAATAATCTGTTTTTAAAATCAAATATAAGGAAGGCCTGGGTGGCTCAGTCAGTTAAGCGTCTGCCTTCAGCTCAGGTCATGGTCCCAGGGTCCTGGGGTCGAGTCCCGCATCGGGCTCCCTGCTCGGCGGGGAGCCTGCTTCTCCCTCTGCCTCTACCTCTGCCTGACGCTCCCGCCCCATCTGTCGAATAAATAAAATTTTTTTTTTAAGATTTTATTTATTATTTGACAGAGAGAGAGTTAGAGCAGGAACACAAGCAGGGGGAGTGGGAGAGGAGAAGCAGGCTTCCCACAGAGCAGGGAGCCCGATGCGGGGCTCAATCCCAGGACCCCAGGACCATGACCCGAGCAGAAGGCAGACGCTTAACGACTGAGCCACCTAGGCGCCCCTAAATAAAATCTTTTAAAATAAAATAAATAAAATAAAATAAAACGGGCAGCTGGGCGGCTCAGTCGGGTGAACGTCTGCCTTCGGCTCATGTCATGATCCTGGAGTCCTGGGAATGAATCCCACATTGGGCTCCCTGTTCAGTGTGGGGGGGTTTGCTTCTCCCTCTGCCCCTCCCCCTGCTCATGCTCTCGCTCTCTCTCTCTCACAATAAATAAAGTCTTTAAAAATAAAGTAATCAAATATAGGGTTAACCACAATTTGGCTTATCCATCGATTGAGGAGAGAGTAACAGAAAGCCTGCTAGACTAGAATTCAAACTCAAAATGCAGGCCAACAGACCATGTGGCATTTCTACACCTTAGATTCTTCACTACGTTCTGAGGAAGTTCAAATAGAGCAGGAAACTCTTACTTGAAATAAATTTTATTTGGAAACCAAATATGTAAAAACAGACTACAATGGCCCATCGCTGAATGCCACAGAACTGGAGGGCTAGAGTTCCCCTTCCCTGCTCACCACCTCCACCAAAGGACACCTAAGAGCAATCTAAAACCTGCCAGTTTTTTTTTTTTTTTAAGATTTTACTTATTTATGTGTGTGTTTATTTATTTATTGAAATAGAGAGACAGAATCCCAAGTAAGCTCCACGACCAGTGCAGAGCCTGATGCAGGGCTGGATCCCACAACCCTGAGATCCCCTAAGCCAAAAATCAAGAGTCAGACGCCCAACTGCCTGAGCCACCCAGGCACCCCTGAAACCTTCTGGCTTTAACTCTGTGACTCGAGTCTCCCCACAGATCTCTGATTAGTGCAGGGGTAAAAACCGTGACTACACAATGGAGAGAACAGACAACAGTTTGACCAAGTGAAAAATCAGCATCACCCTGGGGCAGAAAACATCCCTTGCCCGTGGAAGGAGTCATCTGAGAAGCACACAATGTCACCTCGATAATATTCCTGTCTGGGACGCATGATCTAAACACACTCAGAGAGAGACATGTGACAAACCCAGACTGAGGAACAATCGATGAAGTAACTGGCTCCTGCACTCTTCAAAAATACCTATGTCATGAAAGGCAGAGAAAGACTTTTTTCTCTGTTTGAAAAGGACCTGTTTCAGATCAAAGACAGCCATGGAGACGTGACAGCTGAGTGTCACATGTGGTCATGAACCAGATGGTGGCACGGCGAAAGGATGCCATGAAGGGCTCTGCTGAGACCAGGAAGACACGGTGCAGAGCAGATGAGTACCGTGCCCGTGTGACACTTCCGGACTGGAGCTGGCCCCACTTCCACAGGAGAATGTCCTCATGCTAGGGGACCATGCCCAGCAGGAGCAGGGGAGTGTGGCATGAGTTATGCCACCTACCGCAATTCCGTTCAGAAAAACCATCACTCATGTACACCCTGAAAGGAGAGGCAGAGCTAGCTCACTGTTAGCTCTCTTCTCCAAGCTAGGTATTTTTTCAAAATAACAAGTTTTAAACGTTTCTGATTCAACGAAACCCTACAAGATCTGGTATTCTAGAGGAATCACTGGCTGTCATCAGTAGCTTCATTTATTCTTATTCCCACAGCAGCCCATAATAGTATGTCTTCTAAATCAAAAGCAAGGGAGAAATACAGTAAGCCTAATAAGACAGGGTGCTATGGACTAATGTGTCCCCCAAAGCCACATATGGAAGCCCTAGCCCTCGAGGTGATGGCATTTGGAGGTGGGCTTTTAGGAGGTAATGTGTCAGATTGAGTCACATGGATGGGGCTGTCACGATAGGATTAGTGTCCTTACACGAAAAGGAAAACACTAGATACCTTCCTCTCTCTCTGCATGCACCAGGGAAGGCCGAGTGAGGACACAACCAGGAAAAAGGCCCTCACCAAGAACCCAACATGCCGACACCCTGATCTCAGAACTGTGGGAAATAAGCCAAGCAACTATGGTATTCCGTCGCAATGGCCCGAGCTGATGAAGACATGCACTCTGGCAATGGGAGATGTAACATGAGAGACCAAGTGAAGGACACATGGTCCTTTACTACCTTTTCTCTTTACTACCTTTTCAACTTTTCTGTGAATCTAAAATTACTCCAAAATTTGTTTTTAAAAAATTGTTTTTCAGGGTGCCTGGGTGGCTCAGTCGTTAGGCGTCTGTCTGCCTTCAGCTCGGGTCATGATCCCGGGATCCTGGGATCGAGCCCCGCATTGGGCTCCCTGCTCAGCGGGAAGCCTGCTTCTCCCTCTCCCACTCCCCCCTGCTTGTGTTCCCTCTCTCGCTGTCAATCTCTCTGTCAAATAAATAAATAAAATCTTTGGGGCGCCTGGGTGGCTCAGATGGTTAAGCGTCTGCCTTCGGCTCAGTGCATGATCCCAGGGTCCTGGGATCGAGCCCCGCATCGGGCTCCTTGCTCAGCGGGAAGCCTGCTTCTCCCTCTCCTTCTACTGCTTCCCCCTGCTTGTGCTCTCTCGCTCTATTTAAATAAATAAATATTTTTTAAAAATAAATAAATAAATAAAATCTTTTAAAAAAAATTGTTTTTCAGTTAACTGAATCAGATATAAATGGTGGATGAAAAATAATTAAGACTGAGATGAACATCCTAAGAGAGCCAACAGAAAAAGGAGAAAACCAAGATCCTTGGGGAATATTCCAAAAACAAGGTAAGTTGGCAAGAGATACCAAGGAGGAGGCATGAGTGAGAGAGGAGAACCAGGTGGCAAACTGGCAGCAGGGGAAAGAGAGTTTCAAGAGAAAGGTCAAGACCCACAGCACCATTGGCTACAGGGTTAGTCCCAAGTCTGGATTATAGACAACTGGATGAGATTCACACTGACCTGAGGGACCAGTTCCAGAAGCATGATGAACTTGGAAGCCAGACTCAATGGGTTCTCAAGCTGGGACAAACCTCATCAAGTGCCTCTCTGCATCATGCCTTACATTCACAAGGTATCTGTACATTGTCTGACCACTGTTCTAAAACACAACTATGAGGGGCGCCTGGGTGGCTCAGATGGTTAAGTGTCTGCTTTCGGCTCAGGTCATGATCCCAGGGTCCTGTGATCAAGCCCTGCATTGGGCTCCCCACTCCGCGGAAAGCCTGCTTCTCCCTCTCCCACTCCACCTGCTTGTGTTCCCTCTCTCGCTGTCTCTCTCTCTGTCAAATAAATAAATAAAATCTTTAAAAAATTAAAAAAATATATATATCCCTTAAAAAAATTAAAATAAAACACATCTATGAAAAGCGTACGGCAAGGAGACCTCTATGACTTGCCCAGTCCCAAGACCCACAGCCTCTGGTCTTGCTCAGTGCAATCACTAGAGGGGAGAGGAAAACATGGACAGCTTGACTAAAACAACCTACCAACTATAACATGGTTAACTGTCCATGCTGCATTCCTACTGAGCCACTTACGGATGGAGAGATGTCATCATCGTATTTTTTTAACTGATTCATGAATTCCAGATGCTTCTTTTCCTCCTCCAGTTGAGCCACAGACTGCTCACTCTTCTGTAATTTCTGTTGCGTATTGGCGAGTTCGTCCCGCAGCCACTGGTTCTCCTGGCAGAGCCGACGAACCTGTGCACGCAGTTTCTGCTTCTCGGACTCAACAGCGTTCAGGTGATTGGACAAAGCCATCATGACCTGGAAAGACAGAAACGCTGACAGCACTGCACCGTCCATCCCACGCATCTCAGCTCGCGCCGACGCAGGCATTCTGGGCTTGCAGCTCTAGCTTATACTTGCAGGTACGTGCTCCCACACACACATGCACAAATGCCAACGACTTCCCTCTTCACCCTCAGTCTCAGGCTACGTAGGGTAAAGAGTATCACACGCTCAGAACATCTACAGAAACTAGATGTTGTTCTTCCGTTTGACAGCATCTCGGATGGACTAGTAATGGACACACGGCTACTCTTCTGACAAAACGGTATGTTTTTACTTTCTATCCAGGTGGGCTGCAACGTAATTTCTCAGAGACCCTTTTCCATGTGTGAGAGAGTGTGCACAAGCACGCGATGTGCACCGAGGGCAGGTCACTCCGGGAGGGGCTGGTGATGGTTAGAGAAGGACAGGCAGACAAACCTTTGATGTTCCAAGGTAAGGGAAGAAATCTTTAGCTAGCCAGCTAGTCAGAATGCACTGATGCATTCATAAGCTTAGGTCCACATCACAAACTCTGGTGACTGTCCCAGGGCTCTGCCTGGGCTGCACCAGACCTGTGTGAGGCATTAGCAAGCTCCTAGGAGTGTACGAGTAGAAAGAGCTGGGCAAAGCTGGCTCTAGTCTGTTCTCTCTTTAGACCATGCAACTGCCCTGCCCTCTACTATCCTCCTATGTTTCAAACCTAAACTCCAGAAAGTGAGGCTCTTTCCTCCTTCTTTTCTTAACCCTAGTATCTACCCAACTGAAAACGAAGTCCATATTCATATCACTTTTCAATAACAGAATGTGCCATACAATACATTCACAATAACCAAAGTTAAAGTTCTACAATTAGGTATTTCACACAGTCGGGATGAAGAGCTCTAAAATCAGGGTATGGACAGTCACTGTGGAGGACAGTGTCCTCTACGTGGAAGCGGGAACTAATGACCCAGCAGCCCTACTCTGCTTTCTTCATTCACTTACAAGAGGAAAGTTAAGGGGTGCCTGGGGGTCGCAATCGGTTAAGTGTCCAACTCTTGGTTTCAGCTCAGGTCATGATCTCAGGGTCCTGGGATCGAGCCCCGCACAGAGTCTGCTTGAGATTCTCTCTCCCTCTCCCTCTGCCCTCCCATTCATGCATACGCTCTCTCTCAAATAAATAAATCTTTAAAAAAAAGAAAGAGAGAAAAGCCAAGAAGAAAGAAGTCAAATTTTGTGTATGTGACTTTACCTGAAGTGTGCTGGCAAACCAAACGTTATCAGGAGGTAGGGCTACCACAAGAGGTTTCTTTTCTTTTCTTTTTCTTTTGATTGATTGATTGATTTTAGGGGGAAGGGGCAGAGGGAAAGGGAGAATCTCAAGCACACTCCCCCCAACGAAGTGGGGCTCGATCTCACTACTCTGACATCACGACCTGAGCTGAAACCAAGAGTTGTACCCTCAACCAACTGTGCCCCCCACCTAGATGTTTCTAATTTTTTCACCTCTATGTCCCACATGATAAAAACAAAGGTTTACTCAAATATATATAGCAATCTTGTCTTAGGGTATTGCAGAGACTATTAGCTGTTGGCCAATATCCATTCTCCCTTCTTCCTTAGGCTTAAGAAGTGGAACTTGAAGTGGGCAGGGCAACATTCCCCAGTCTCCCTCACAACTAGGAGTGGCCACAGAACCAAGGTCTGGCCAATGAAATGTAAGCAGTGTCGTGCACGAGTTGGAGGAAGTAAAGGGAGGAGGCAACACCCTTCCTGTCCCTTCCCTGTCCTAGAATGGGGTGGGTGGCTGCAGCTGGGGCTCCGTCTTAGTCCACAAAAAAGGCTGTGTGCAGTGTAATGCAGAGGCCTGCGTGTCCCTGATGGTCATGCAGCTACACAATCTGTCTGGGGGAAGCCTACCTCGGTATTTCTTTATACATGTCCATGATGTTTAAGCCACTGTTTTTGTTTTGGACACATGCAGCCAAATCAAATCCAAAATGACAAGGTTACCTCTATTTTGGCTCTGCCTTTTAGAATTTAGACATGCCCAAATCAATCATTATTTATATAATACACAAGCTGATCTCTGTTACTCTAGAAGTACCGTCCCTCTAGTTTCTTTTTTTTTTTTTAAAGGTTTTATTTATTTATTTGACAGAGAGAGACACAGCGAGAGAGGGAACACAAGCAGAGGGAGAGGGAGGAGCAGACTTCCCACGGAGCAGGGAGCCCGATGCGGGGCTCGATCCCAGGACCCTGGGATCATGACCTGAGCCGAAGGCAGATGCTTAACGACTGAGCCACCCAGGCGCCCCCCGTCCCTCTAGTTTCGTTACACCACGTATTCAAACGGAGTCTCCGTTTCTCCAGACTGTCAGCTCCTATTCTTGTCGGAGCAACTTCACTGTACCTGTGCCTCACTCAGGCCAAGCTCCAGCATTTCCAGCGACTTCCGGATCATGTTTGACTTCTCTTCCACCAGATTACTTTCATCATCTTTCTTCAAACACTTCAGTGTCTCAAGTAAACTTTGTAAAATGGAATTGTGCTCATTCTTCAGAGCTTCCAGCCCCTGAATCACTTGCTTTGTCTTAGAAATGATTTCATCCTGTGTCAGCTTCTCCAACTTGTCTTCCTTTATATACACCATCGTGGACATGTTGTCATACATTCTAGAATCGAAAAAGGAAAAAAATTAGGCATCTCATCAGATGTAATTTATGTTACACCTCTAATAAAATATACTGTGAAGTGGGGCGCCTCGGTGGCTCAGATGGTTAAGCGTCTGCCTTCGGCTCAGGTCATGATCCCAGGGTCCTGGGATCAAGTCCTGCATCGGGCTCCCTGCTAGGCGGGGAGCCTGCTTCTCCCTCTGCCTCTGCCTCTCTCTCTCTGACTTTCATGAATAAATAAATAAAAATAAATAAAAAATATATATATATATACTGTGAAGACTTTTAAATTAACATTTTTATAGGTGAATAATAAATGTGCGTATCCGTGACTTGTTGAAATACTGTACTGTTTCTCTCTTCCCTCTGCAGACCAATTTAATTACTTTTCTGGCTTATGCCTGAATTCTTTTTAATGGAAGAAATGACAGCAGTTGAAATTAATGCCAAAGATTAAAAGCAGCAAAACATTCAAATGGCATTTCTACAGCACAAAACCTCAGTGAACAGAAGTTCTCTGAATGTTTGCAAGCTTTTTCCCCCTTAATGAAATGCGGAAAGGACAGTAAATTCTTGGTAACATATTTACCAGACAAAGCCTTGAGAAGTGGTCACAGTTGGAAGAAGGAAGAAAACCAGCAAAGGAACATGGAAACAATCAGAGTAGCAGGAGAAGGACTAGGTCCGTCTGAAACACGGTAAGAGAGTGACATGAGCATGATCATCAGCACTATAAAGACGCAAGGAGGACGAGGGCTAGGCATGCCTACAGGATCAGACTAGCTGAGAGGCCACCAAAATTTCAGGAAATCATACATTGTCTGGAACTCGCTTTAAAATACTATAATGAAGAAGAAAAAGGAAAGGGGCACATAAAACAGTGTCAGCAAACTCATGACTGCTGAAACTAAGCAACAGGTCTTTGTATAACCTTTCTAGGTTTGTGTATGTTTTTAAATCCCATAATTAAGTTTAAAAAAAAGGCCACAGTGAGCATTAAGGAAGCCTCAAGAGACTGTCAGTGTGATTTCCTTCAGAGCATTTAGCACTCCCTGAAATCCTGTGTGCTGTCACATGCTATCGTTTATATCCCCCTGAAGGTAAGCTCTATGTAAGAGGCAAGGCCTCGATCTTGTACCCCCCTACATCACATCCCCAGGACCGCGCTCGAGCCCTGGCCGACCACGTGGTGCAGGCCTGGACTGACAGATGCCCATGAAGGGAAGCAGTGTTGAAGCACTGAACACGTGCTTAGGAGCGCACTTGTGATGAGCACCTGAAGTGTTGAATCAGTATATTGTACACCTGAAATATAACACTGGATGCTAACTATACTGGAATTAAAATTTAAAACTTTATTAAAAAAACATTAAATCCCATCCAATTATAAAGATGGTCAGTGTCACACCTCTGCAAAGAAGGGAAGAGAGGGCAGGTCTGTTTATGTAAAAGAGAAAAGAATGGGAAGGGGCAGAAGGTTTTTTTTCCCCTGCACAGGAAAATTTTTATTTATTTATTTATTTTTGCCCCACTCCACTCCCCTCCAGCAATCCTGTTTGTTTCCCATGATTAAGTCTCTTATAGTTTGTCTCCCTCCCTGATTTCATCTTATTTTATTTTTCCCTCCCTTCCCCTATGATCCTGTTGTTTCTTAAATTCCACATACAAGTGAGATCACATGACAATTGTCTTTCTCTGATTGATTTACTTCGCTCAGCATAATACCCGCTAGTTCCATCCACATCGTTGCATATACACACACACACACACACATCTTTATCCATTCATTCATGGACATCTGGGCTCTTTCCATAGTTTGGCTGTTGTGGACATTGTTATGAACATTGGGGTGCAGGTGACCCTTTGGATCACTGTGTGTGTATCTTTGGGGTAAATACCAAGTAGTACAATTGCTGAGTTGTAGGGTAGCTCTATTTTCAACTTTTTGAGGAACCTCCATACTGTTTTCCAGAGTGGCTGCACCAGCTGGGGCAGAGGGTTTAAACAGGAGTAGCAAGGGGTGCCTGGGTGGCACAGTCAGTTAAGCACTGACTCTTGGTTTTGGCTTGGGTTGTGATCTCAGGGTCATGAGATCGAGCCCCGCGTCAGGCTCCGCACTTGGTGCTGAGTCTGCTTCAGACTCTCTCTCTCCCCCTCCCCCCTCTCTCTGCTGACACACATACAATCTATAAAAATAAATAAGTAAAATCTTAAAAAAAAAAAAAAAAAGGAGTAGCAAAATCGTAACAGGTAGGATTTACACATAGGAAAAAAATCAAAACACAATGGGAAAGACTTAATCACTTGAATGCAGGGGATGCCTCAGTTAAGTAAACACATTTAAAGAAATCCAAATTTGGGGCACCTAGCTGACTCAGTTGGTGGAGCACGTGACTCTTGATCTCAGGGTCCACTGGGTATAAAGATTACAAAAAATAAACAAACTTAAAAAAAAAAAAAAGAGGGGCGCCTGGGTGGCTCAGTCGTTAAGCGTCTGCCTTCAGCTCAGGTCGTGATCCCAGGGTCCTGGGATTGAGCCCCACATTCGGGCTCCCTGCTCCGTGGGAAGCCTGCTTCTCCCTCTCCCACTCCACCTGCTTGTGTTCCCTCTCTTGCTATCTATCAAATAAATAAAATCTTTAAAAAAAAAATCCAAATTTAATCCCTCAAGGAATATAGAATGAAAATGTTAACAAGTAGTACACTGCATGCTCACATACTCTTGTAGAGGCTTTAACCATGGACAAGAGTAACAAATACAAATGTTATCTGGGCGTGCACAAAAAAAAGGGGGGGAAAGGAGCCATTAAGGCAGATTTTTTTTTTTTTTAACTTACTCTTAACAGAAAATGAGTAAGAATCCAAATGGTCTTGGGAGGCACTCAGCTCTCTTTAGACCTGAGAGGGCAGGTGGTATGGAAAGCATGGGAATCCAGAGCAAGCAAGGGCAGAGCCTGGCTCCCTCACCATAGCACAGGCTGCATCCCCAAACCTCCCTGGGCCTCAGTGGTTAGCAGGCCTCCCCTCCAGGTGGTTACAAGCACAGCAGGGAGAATGCAAGTGAGTCACTGAGCTCCTAGGTGGACAGACACGAGAGCCACTCAGCAGTCAGCGCCGTCTCCCACCTGGGAGCAGGGCAATCAGGAACACCCCTGAGAAGTGGCTGCTCAACACTTGCAGACATGCCTCCTCTACCACAGGCCTCACTACTTTGCAAGACACTCGATTCCTTATTAGACTGCTCTGATACTTAGAAAGTTATTCCTTTTGCTGAGCTGACTCTCCCTCCTTAAACTTCTACCCACTGAGCCAACTTCTTCCCTCTAAAATAAACACAAAATATATTTACTATGTCATCCACAAGGTAACACTTCAAATATTGTATTATAGACAGAGGGCTCTCCAAATCTTCCATTTCCCAAGCTTATACCTCATGCCACCCCCAGGGACTCTTCAATCATAGCAGTTTCCATGCCGCCCCCCGCCCCCAAGTCACCATTAGATAAATATATGGACACATGCCACTTCTTCAGGGGGAAACCCACAGCAGCATACATACATGTTTACATTGCTCCATATCTCTCTCATTTCTAGGCTAAGCCGTTATAACCAAAGGTAGGTTATATAAAAAATAGCGTTAAGTCGGGACGCCTGGGTGGCTCAGTCGGTTAAGCATCTGCCTTTGGCTCAGGTTATGGTCCCGGGGTCCTGGGATCGAGCCCCACATTGGGTTCCCTGCTCTGCGGGACGCTCCCCCTGCTTGTGAGCACGCTCTGACAAATAAATAAAAATCTTAAAAAATATATAGTGTTAAGGCAACAATCTATTTAGAAAAAAAATCGTGTTGATTCCTACCCTCACCATACACTAAATTCCATCCTGATTAAAAAAATTAAATGTTGAGGGTTGCCTGGGTGGCTCAGTCGGTTAAGCATCTGCCTTCAGCTTGGGTCATGATCCCAGGGTCTGGGATCTAGCCCCACATCGGAGCCTGCTTCTCCCTCTCTCACTCCTCCTGTTTGTGCTCCCTTTCTCTCTCTGTCAAATAAATAAATCTTTAAAAAAAAATTAAATGTTGAAAAAAAAATGAGAAACTAGAAGAAAACTCAGGCAAAGGTCTATATGCATACAGGTGAAGGTAAAGAGAGCTCTCTGAATAAAATGGCAAAAAACTAGGGGCGTCTGGATGGCTGTCGATAAAGCGTCTGCTTTCATGTCAGGTGGTGATCCCAGGGTCCTAGGATCGAGTCCCGCATCAGGCTCCCCACTCGGTGGGGTGTCTGCTTCTCCCTCTGGCCCTGCCCCCCACCGCCCCCACCCTGCTCACGCTTGCGCCCATTTGCTATCTCTCTCAAAATATTTTTTATTTTAAAAAATTCAAATAAAATAAAATGGCAAAAACTAAAAGAAAACATGGATAAGAGTTCACTTAAAATATGAAACTTCTCAAGCTTCCTATTTAAACTCCCAGCTGAAAGGGTTATGATAGTGGTTACACCGATTTCTAAAGGGTAAAAATACTGGGAATCTAGATCCGCCCAAACATCACACTTTGTCAGCCTAGCACTCACACCGTCCCTAAGACTTTCTTCCAACTCTTGGGCTGTGTATGCCTCCCAGTAACCTAGAATCATGAATCAGCCAGAACAATGCCTGGCACTCCACAGGCACGTCCCAAGTATGTGCTCAATAAATGAATGAACCAGCGTTGGAGCCAGTGCCTGAATCCAATACCGTTTTATTCCCTCGCCTGTCATGAGGACTCTCTAATCCACTTTTCAACAGACAAAGCCATTATGGCCTCATTATTACACTGCATGTCTCAGATTCAAATCCCCTTTAACATAACCTGTCCTTTACATCAAGACTGAGGTTTTTAAAATTTTTATTTAAGTAACCTCTACACCAACATGGTGCCCCAAAGATTTCTCTTAATCACTGGTATGTTATAGCAATTAAAAAACTCAGTCTTGGGGCTCCTGGCTGGCTCCGTTGGAAGA